GCCCTCTGTCCTTTAAGCGAGACAGCAACCTAGGGCAATACATCCGGCCCGGATACAACGCTTCCATAATCTCACGCACTTTCGACACGGGCAAGTTGAAACGGCCAAGTCCAACTACTCTGTCGATTTCACCCGGCTCCAATTGTTTTTCAAGCGACAACAGTTGCACACCATGTCCAACTACATGCATTCCTGCAATACTGTGGTTGTGCGACAAACCTGACATGAAAAAGTAGTTTAGATAACAATTACATTAAAGTTAAATGACTAACCTATGGACGTAATGGATAATTCAGATTGGCCTTGTCAAAACTGAACTTGATGTGCCACTGGCACGTCGACCTGCCACTGCACACCTCTTCCTTGTGCGTGCAGTATAGCGTAGAGCGCCACATGATTGAACCTCGTCCGCCGTGTACGGGGTGGGGGTTTTTGTCGGAGAAATTCTTTCCCGTCCGGGAGACTGTGAACCCTTGGGCGCGTGCCCACGCCTGGACACTCGTGATGAATTCATTTGCGTCGATGAAGTTATGGTGCATAACGAGCAAGCCACCGAACATCGACACGGTGCTCTCTGTGGTTGCATTGGGTCTGGTGGCTTCGTCAACCCCATCCTGGTCATCCAGTGTGTGTTCGCTGCTCATCTCGCTGCCTTGTTTTGAATGTGAGCATCGCAAATTCGTCGAAAGCGTGTGCGGACCATTCAACCCATTCATCCGTATAATCATTCGGTATCCGGATAGCTGTATAAACTTTGTATCCTATTTTTGACAATAACCTCAAACAAGGATGCATGACCGGATAACGCTTAACCGGACCATGCGCCTCTGGCGCATGCGCCTAAAACGAGAACCCCTACAAAAATATACCAAATTGCACTCTTTTTGGTCTCATTCCTTCATTTCGTAACGGATTTCGATGAAATAATTTTCGAACTTACGGCGCCACAACCGAATCCGACGTCAACGCAATGGATGCTTCCATCACAACTCGAATCAAACAGTTCGTCAAGTTGCGCTGTAGGAGCAGCTTGTCGTACGATGAGAAGTTGGACATACTTTGGCTCGAAGCGACTCTCCGCGAGCAAGGCAACCTGGATGTCACTGGAGCCATTGTTCGGCTTCTAGATCGAGCGAAAAAGACTGTACACTCGTGCTGTCCGTGATCTCGTGAGGACATTCATCTGTGACCGCTCGGTGGCCCACACCCGGACGGTCGGGAAGGACGTGTTAGCCCTTCTCCAAGAACACAAGGCCGTGTCGGTCGATGCTAGCTACAAGAAAAGCTATTAGTCCTGCTTTCGCGCAGTGCAGTCGTACCTTGCCAAGCAAGGATATGCGAGGGGGAAGCGTGTGGGTGCCACCGAGTATCGTATGAGCAAGGCGCATGAGGACGCCCGTGACGCGTACGTGAGCATGATGGTCCCCACAGTGACGATGTCCCCCCGTCGCCCTTTAGTCTACCTGGACGAAAGCTTTGTCCATCACCACTACTCGAGCCATGCGGACAGCCAGTACCATACCGACGATCCCATGACAAAGCCGAAGCACAATGGCCGGCGATACTGCTGTATTGCCGGTATTCTGGACGATGGATCGGACGTAGCGCATCTTTTGGGCCTTGACATCTTTGTGGGTGGCAAGAAGAGCGGCAAGATTGTCAAGGACTACCATGCAATGTCCAACCACGACTACTTTGTCGACTGGTTTGGCAAGCTCCTGGATGAAGTTGAAGAGCTGGGGTGGTCGTCGGCTGTTCGTCATGGACAATGCAAAATACCACAAGGGCAAGCCGAAATCAACACCGAAGGGGTCATGGAAGAAGACGAGAACCCCATTTTTGTACGGGTATTTTAATTCTCAATGTTGATGCTCTCAACCGCATTCCAGTAAATCGACACACCAATATCCGCATAGTGTTCGGATAACAACCTCCAGTATTGTAATGGACTGATAATTCAGGATACTTCGCACCGCAAAAAGCCCAACTCCAGCCAGTAAATTCACCATCATTCGACCAGCCTGAGTGGAAACCTGCGTTAATTTCGACAATGAGGTATGCTTATCACCAGGTATGGCACGCAATGATGCGCAACATGCATGCATATGTGCAAAGTTATCTTTATCACCAGGAATGGCATAACAACTGTACTTTCTCGTGAACTAGTAAACGGAGTACGGTGATATACAGACATAGTAGGCATCTGCCAGCTCGATAGGACCCTCTATTGACCTTGGTAATGCAGCAGTCAATGGCGCGGGTCCTGTCGAGTTGTCTTCGATGGCATGGGTCCTGCAACATTAACAACACGGCTACCGGCCGCAAAGACATACCCACCAACTGCCGCACGACTCTCGCTAACGCATCAAGCCCTTCGACTTCGACCGACGCAACACAGAAACCGCCAATCACGTCAGGATCGGCCTCGGACCGGCGCAAACAAGCAACTGGGCGAATTCGCCTGCGGTCGATGCTGCTGCCTAAACTTGCTACGGCAGCATCAGCATCGACCGCAGGCGAATGCGCTATCGGCCGCAACGGACCTACGCCGCAAGAGTCATCACCACAAGTCATAAGTTATTGACTGTGGCATACATACCGTGCCAGGGCCGCCACAACTGCACCTCGACCTAGGCCATCACCGACCCTGGAAGCATGTTTATGCACCGATGTCAATATCCGGCCACTATAACCGGATACTGACTCCAGCAAATCCAGTACAAGTCCATAAAAACTGTGTGACTTTTACTGGAAAATTTGCTGGTCAGCAAAGTACTCAACCGGATACTGGTGCGGTGCGAAAATATTTCAGTAAATTTTCAGTAAATCAGCACACAGATTTACTGATTGGCCAATTTACTGGGCGCGGTGGAGATGCTCTTACACACCACCATTGAGAAATACTACCTCCATCCGAAAATAAGTGATTGGTTTGGCAAAACTTGAATCCGAAAATAAGTGATTGATTCAGTTTTGATGCCTCTGATTTGACAAAAAAAAGTCAACAACCAATTATAAACCATGAAAAGCAACATATTTAGGAACTTACTATCCAATCCAAAGTCTCAGATAATTATGTCAATCGAGTCAGAGCTGTCTGTCCAGCTTGTGTCCACTCCTTCTTCGTCAGCATCGTATGACGCAAGGCAGAGATGCTCAAGGTTTGAGCTCAACCTAGCTAACTCCATATCTTGCGAGAGGCGACGTCTTGGCACAGGGTGTTCGATCCTGGGTTGTACGCAGCTCTCTTCCAAAGCCGTGCTACCGTTTGCCAGTTACAGGCAAACTGCGCCGCAACATTGCGAAAAGAGCCGTAGGGAAGCTTACCATCTCTCGCGACAAGTTTGAGGAGATGGTGGCAGACGTCTGTGCGCTGCTGCGGAGTGAGATTGGGTTTTGTAGCAACAGATTGTGGCATGACGTGAATTTGAACACTGGAAATGTTGACATGGCTTTTTTTTGCATTGGTATTTATCCTATTCAAGTATAGTTGTACCTTTTTCAATCCGATAGCATCTTGGAGTTTGTATGCTACAAGTCACTGCGAATTAAATAGGCATTTGAGCTCTGATATAAGCGTATTCAGTCCTCGAAGATAGTGCTTGATTTCCCGAGCCAGCTGATACATTTTCCTCGAAAAAATTCACAAAACTCTTTGAAATATGACGAATTTCCCAAATCAATCACTTATTTTCGGATGGAGGTAGTAAGGGTTTTTCTTGATTGCAATTTTTTACTTTTCCCAGTTCCTAATCCACATGGTGTAATTGATTTTCACAAGTAAATATTCTTCATTGTGTTGTTTTATGTTAATTCTCACAGTTTTTCCATCGTGTTGTGGAATACATTGCGTTTGAGAGTCTCGCGCAAATGCCATCGTATTATTGAAGAGCTAACGAATAGAATGCACCAAAAATCGTGAAAATCGGCCAATTTTTTGCCAAAACACCTCTACTAGCCCCCTCGATACTCTCGCAGACTGTTAATAAGCTGAATGATAAGCCAAATAAAGCACTGGTATACATAAGTTGGTCATAAAACTTGCATTCTCTATCCACTCCGGGTGTCGATTTCTGCCGGCACACATTACTTGGAGACACTGATATATCCTCTAACATTCGATGCAAGACGTCTTCGTCAATGCGAATCGCATATGTTTTCTATTGTACTTCGAAGTAATGCAGTACCCGCCCGCATACTGTACACTAGTATCCCGCAGGATGGATGTCACTTACACTAAGTCAGTTAGGACCGCTTCACCTAGCAGGCGTACTATTAATAGTATTGCACAACATTCCAAATTAATTCCCTAGCCTCCTGTGATAATGCGTTTCCTATGTAACAATTTACATGAAATGTGCACCCGCGATCCTCAATGGAATGGACTATACTCTATAAAATAATAAACTGTACAACTCGATATGTCACTTAACAGTTTTAGTTTACTTCGTAGTTTTTTGCTACCTTGAGTACAAGTACCATTGGCCAAGTGATATGGGTAAATGGCCAATCAAATGATATGGGTATGTGGCCAATGAAACAGACGTCGTTCCCTGAACAGCCCCTTCCAAACATAGTAGGCCCCACATCCCAACACCCTTAAATGTGCACTGGGCGTGGCTATCAAATCAAAAGGTAATGTCTTGGTTGCAACGCACCCAATGAGTTCTTGGAGAACTACTGTAACCACCAAGCATTAAAGGTCGCCAAAAGACACTTGGGCTCACTTAATTCGATGTCATAGGACGGAGTACATGACTTACGTTACGATATACAATACCAATGTCCTTCCATTTACTATAGTTTTCGACATGTAGTCAGAATTACTATACTTTGACGTTCTCGTCACCAATTTGTACCAACTACTACGTTGTACTAGTAAGTACTACTAGTACGTGCCAGTAGTAGTTACTAGTATATAAACATAGTACATAACTCCGTCGTCAACATTATATATGGATTTACTAAGGAATCCACCATCATGTCCTTATGAATTTGATCGTGATTTGATTTCTCTCTATGTTGGAGAGCAAATGTTGACATCGGAATTCGACCATTTACACAGTTAACGATCGTCGGCTGCATGGTTTCTTTACAGAACCTGATGTGACAGCTCCATCACCACCACCACCGCGATGCACACATTTGAATTCCAGCACTTCGCATACAGTAATAATGTGGCAGTCGTTCGTGGTTGCGTTCCTCCTGGTGGCTCTGGGGGCCGTGGGCGTGTACTTCATCCGTCGGTTCCAAGCCCCCGTCCACGAAACGTATCAGCCGTCGCCGTCGCAGCTCCTGCTCGGGTATCGCGCCTTCCTCGTGGTGCTGTTCGCCGTGGCCTTGTTCGGGTACAACACGCTGCCGTTCGCGTGGGTGTACTACACTGTCTGGAACCTCACATTGCAGCTTGTGTACTTGGTGTGGGCGACAGTCCATCAGTTCCGCCACCGCGCCGTCACAGGGACGGCCGTGCCGACAACCGCCGAAAGCCGCGCGCTCAACACGCTCTTCGACGTGTGCTTCTCCGTGAGCTTCCTTGTGTGTATGATGTACTGGGGCGTCGTGTACCCGTCCCAAGTGGACAAAACCATCAAGATCATGTCCGTGTTCCAACATGGGATCAACTGCATCTTCCTCGTGGGAGAGTTTGCCCTCAACGGGTTCGTCGTGCGCAAAGCCACGCTCGGCTACATCCTCATCCTCCCCGTGCTCTACGGCGCCTTCTCGTGGATTGGCCATGAAACCTGGAACGACGGGTTCTGGCCATACAAATTCCTAGACGTCTCCAGTCAGGCATCGCCGCTGTGGTGCTTTGGAACTGTCCTCATCCATTCGGTTCTGCTGCTGGGAACCCTCGGCCTCTCCAAACTCAAGTCGCGATGGCGCCCTGCCCTCTGTCCCGTCGCATTCCACCCGACATTGTCCCTAACCCCCAAAGACGAGGACAGCATCACGCCGGCGTAAACAGGACCAGTAAACCCTGTCGCATAGTACAGTAGTACGTACAGTACTACTAGTACTGTATATGTGTCTCTAGTTTTTCGTGACATTACCAGATAGATAGACGGACAGCATATTATGGGCCTCGTCGGGGAAAGCATTAAATCTTTAAACCAGTAGCTGACTAACTTCCAATATTACTGATATCAATACAATTGGACTGTAGTGCTTCCGAAATAGTTTTTTAATTCGTCAGTAAATGTCAAAATATGCATGCACTTTGCTACTAATTAGATATATCTATTTCAATCAAGAACTCAGCAACTTCGAAAGAGACTAGGTTACTGATCAAAAATGCAGTAGCCGATCATTTAAATCCTATGGAACCAAATCAAATCGATCAGCAAACACGTTTTATTAATAGTATTCATCCATCATCTAATAGTTGCTGTTCGAACGATTCATCGATGGCGACAGAAAGCGTGTAGCGCGGTTGCTGTCAATGGACAATCTCTCTTGGCGATTCAAACGATAGCGGCGTTGAGCTTCACTGCGCTTGCGCTTCTTCTCATTCGCCATCTGCTCGTAACGAGCAATTACAGACATGTAAAACTCTTCGTCCTCCGCGCGCAATGGCATCAACGAGAGGTGGAAGTTCGTCAATGCGAACGTCGTGCGCTGGATCGTGTTGTAGTTTTTATCACCCCAAGTGTACGTAGCCAACGAAATCTTCCAGAGAGTGCATATGCGACCGAAAAAGTTCTCCACAACCACCCGATCGGAGGAGATGTCGTGGTTTCGATCCATGTCATGGGCATCCAATACGCCATGCACCTCGCGACGCTTGGGATGAATACCCCGCAGAGAGTGGGCAATTCCGATGTAGCCCATGTCGACCAAACACTCCCACAACCCCCAGTACTGCGTACTAAAACCACCATAGTTTGGCACATCCTGCTCACCCGCCGACTTCAACAGGTTGGTCGCGTGAATGGCAGTGCGGGTGTGCAATATCGTCAGGTCATGCACAGATCCTAGGAAGCTCTCGGTCATTGCCACACATTGGCCTTCCAGTGACACGCTTGCCTCGATCTTGTAACCGTATTGATGGTGCTTCCCGCTGAAGTAATGTTTCTGCTCCGCCAAGCGTCCCGTTGGACGCTGTGCTGGCTGAAACTTCACATCAACTGCATACAACGCGTACGTAAAGTGGTCAAATAGTCGATTCGAGTTGGACATGTCGGACATGGATGGAACTCGAATCAACTCGCCGTAGAGCATAGGCTGAACAGCGTGTAGGACGCGCATGAACAGCTTTTCGAAGGTTGGTGCCTTGTGCCCAAAGTCAGCTGCGTGTTTTCCCATGTTGAAAAGTGTTTCAACACGGTGAGGGCCATAAATAGCGCGTCCTTGGGGCTAGTCGTTGAGCGCCGGCCACGACCTTCCATCCACGCAGGGTTCATAGCATCCTCCACCATCGCCCACAGGGACTCGAACTCGGTGACGGTAAAGTTGGTCATAGATCTAATACCCTCAGAGCCCAATTCGATCAAGAACTTGTCCATCATTGGGTTTTACGGGGGGCTCCTCGCAGTCGTCACGCAAGTGCGAGACTTCACCAAAGTCATGCAGGCATGACTCAAGGTAGGATTGATCTCGCACTGCTTGGTCTTGGAGACGGTTGAGTACGGCGTTGGTGTTCACAGGCATGGCTGGCGAAATGGAAAGTGAGGGGAAGTGAATTGCAACAAGCTGATTCCCCCCAAAGGTGCAGATTTGGGCGCCAACCTCGATGATGTGGATACATGTATAACCTACTTTGTGTTTTTAATGCAGGTTTTAATCGAATCTCCTTAATAAGTACATTTTTGGCGAATCTCTCGGATTCTCCTAGCCTTTACATGAAAGGTACTCATCTATGGGATCTCAAAGATTTTATCATAAAACGTAATACTTCGGTCAATACTTTGGTTGTGGTAGGTTCACTTGTGGAGGGATATCGCAGCGATTACAGTACGAACTCCTGTTAAATTCAATGTGCTTGCACACCAGCTTCGTATATGTCACCATGAAATCAACTTGCACACGTTTTGGGTACGAACAGGATCGATTCACCTCCGAAAACGATGTGAGACGGCTGAAGAAAGTTGTGGACTTGGTAACTTGTCAGTACAATGTACGAAGAATCAGGTAGTAGGAAAATTCCGAATAGTATCAGTGGGTGAAATTGTGATACTACATCACGTCGGAGATCGAGTAGTTCGTCAGTTAGTCGATCCTAATCAAGTGGTGAGTTTTACTGCTGATTAACCCATCTACTGATCGTAAGGATTATTGCCGGAAAAGTAAAGTCGTGAGAGTGGTTAGGGTGACTTGTCAAAACCACTGACCGGTCCACTTCTTGGACAATATCCGGACAATTGTTGCACAACGCCGCGTTTGGAGGAGCCATATGGACAAAAAGCGTGTTGAAAAAGTCAAGTCGTGAGTGGTTTTACACTTGTTAACATGACAGATCTGTGATTTGCCGATTTTGAGCTCCATTCAATCCATCGTATGTGGTTAACAGTAAGTTAAAATTATCTCGAGCTGAAAGATGCAATGCCGAACTCTCCTTTTTGAACTTTTTCTCATCGTTCGAATACAAATCAAGTGTAAGAGTTTGAATCAGGGCAAATAAAATGTCAAAGTTAGGCGCTCAACCAGGCGATCGGTCATTTGCCGAAATTTAACCTTGTATTCAGTATGGGAATTTTAAGGCTTCGATGAAACAAAAATTTTGGTTTATAGAGAAATATTACATGTACTGTATGCAGTAATAATATTTTACAGGTTATGCTTCACTTATTCGATGGTCAATGCCAAGCCTTTTGGCGACTAACAAATCGGTTAGACGATGAGGCGGTGGTGGATGGGCCCCGGGTTCGAGTCCCGGGGTGCGCCAAATGTTTCCTCAACTTTACAGTTGTGTTAGAACGCTACAGAGTACAGTATTCGGTTCTAAGCGCACGTTTCCACACTTAAATGCAGTATGATTCCACTACCATCAGCGGGTCCCTACCAATAGTTCCTTCCGCACGACTTGCCGGGGAAGAGACAGGATGGATCGATTAACCACCGAGATGCCGTCACCCCGCGTTGTCTGACTTGTCACAGTTGGAACGTCCTCCGTACATGAGGGGACTGGTCACGGGCTGAGAGGCCGGAGTATATGCTCTTTGGATTGGGCCAAAGGGGTCGGAGGGCTGAAGCTCTTAGTTTACTGCGCAGTGCGCAGAACGTTGTAATGTCTTATGGTTTGGTGAAGATATCCGACTTGGAGTCGTTTAGCTGTGTACTCAAGTCGAAACACTCGTTGTTCGACGATGACGTTGATGAAATGGTAGCCCACATCGATATGTTTATTGCACCCATGGTGACCAGAGCTGTTCACTATCTCGATGGTGCTTTGGTTGTCCTCATGGAGGGTAATAGCCGAGGTGATGGGATGACCCACCTCACCTGCTGTCTGCTTGATGTACAAGCATTCTTGTGCTACTGTGCAAGGAATCATAAGTTCTGCCTCGGTGGTCGAGAGAACTATACATCGTAGCCTCTTGCGCCACCCAAGACGAGACCATAGTCAATCGTGCCTCGAATATAGCGTAGTGCTCGCTTGGCTGCCTGCCAAAGGGCTGAACCAGGGTTCGTGAAGAACTTACTGAGCTGTTGGACGACGTAGGCCAAGTCTGTTCGGGTGCTAATCATGAGGTACATGAAGCTCCCAACGATAGGGTATGGCTTGTCCACCATATAGGTGCGCTCAGTTTCGTCCTGAGGACACATCGACTCAGAGAGTTTGAGGTTCACCCCTTGGGTGTGGGTGAAGGGTTGGAGTTCTCCATGCTGAACATCTTGAGAATAGAGTTCGCATATTGGGACTGGTGCATCGTGCAAGTTCGTTGCGAACGATATGGAACCCAAGACTGAACTTGAGTGGGCCAAGGTCGTGTATTTTGAAATGCGCCGTCAGGCCGTGTTTGATGGTTGTGATCATATCCTTCGTGGGCGCCATGTTGACGAGGTCATCGACATTGACACCGATGTAAATGGATCGCCCATGCAGGACATTCGTGAAGACACACCTGTCTTTGACGAGTTGGGTATACCCTTGCTTGCACAAGTAGGTATCCAGCGTCTGGAACCACAAGCGTGGTGCTTGTTTAAAGGCCATAGACGCTTCGAAGTACTTGTAGTACGTCGCGAGGATGTTTGACGTATACCTCACAGTCGATTTCTCCATTGATAAAGGCAGTGATGACGTCCATCGCGTCGATCTCATAATCCAGGACCGCGCCGAGAGTAAGCATCATTCGCAGAAATCTCTTTGCGATGACTGGGGAGTAACTCTCCTCGAAGTTGACTCATTGGACCTGAGTGTGTCCTTGGATGACAAGGCAGGGCGACCTGTCGTGTAGCCTCAGTGGCTGAGTTATCGTATTTGATCTTAAGACCCAATGTTGCGCTCTCGAACGACATGTTCGCCTCATGTGAAGCCAATTCGAGCAGCATGGCTTCGTGCCAATGCACTTTGGCTGGTGATTTCATAGCTTGCGCATATGTTGAGGGCTCTTCAGTAGGTACTTTGACCTTGAGGGACAAGAGGACATGCTCTGATGTCGAGATGGATCGAGCGCTCGAGGCGTCCTAGGTATTGACATAAGTAGTCGTGCAGGGCCGTCGGGTTGACGTCGCCGTGTCCAATGTGGAAGTCTGCGATGAGACGATAACACACTCGTTTGTGTGGTCGTCATGGCACTCGAGACCACGAGGTTCGAGGTATAGTCTCGAGCGACTGGATTGTCGTAGGTGACAATGTTGGCTTGGAGGTAAATGTCATATTCACATACTCCAGAGTAGGGTAGTTTGTATTTCCCGTCGTCGAGTTGAAAGTCAGTGATCGATGACGTTTCGGAGTCGGAATATTCGTCGACTGATTATCCTGTCGGTTGATTCGATGTTGACGTGGACTCGGGAAGCGTCCCGAAGGTGCTGAGCCTCCCGAATCACGAGTGGCTTCTGAGCTTGGTCGGTCAAGTACTACAGGTATTTGCCATATTGGCCTCGTGTAGCCAGAGTATAATGCCTCCCCAAGTGAGGTGTGGTTGCCGTAGTAGCGTCCCCAAGATGCGATGGTAACGGGGGTTGTGTTTGGGGAAGTAGCTTGTCCACAGTAAAATAATTACGATGTGGAAGCTCAATCCTCAGTCGTTTGACTTCCTCGACTGATTTCAGGAGGCGAAACCGATATTCAACAAAGGTGACATCAGGGTTTGTGAGCACGTAGTGCGTGTCAATGTTGAGAAACTTGAACCCTCGAGATGTCTCGGGTAATCCGATGTACATGCACAGCATGCCTCGTGGAGACAATTGTTCGCACGCATGGGTGTGTTGACATGGGCATAGGCCACACATCCAAAGACTCGAAGTCGAGTATAGTCTGGATGGCTTTGATGCCACATACGATATGGTGTGTCACCACTGAACGTGGTAGACGGCAGGATATTCGTGATGAATACTGCATATGATACTGCCTCGCCCCAAAACTGTGGCAGGTTACCATACAGTAGCATGGACCAGGCGATCATCACGATAATGCCATACGACGCTCGGCCACAGGATTCTGTGTCGGCGTGTAAGCATTCGTATAGGTCAACTGCGTTCCGTATTCTTGGTGAATACGCTTCCCGAGCTTGACGTATTATGCGGCGTTGTCCATTTGGAGCGCCCGAATTGCCTCTAACTCACTCAATGGTGAGTGATGATAGCATAGCTCAATGATATCGGAGCGATAGCGCGTCCGTGCATCCCGGCAGAAAGCACTGTACTTTTCGTACAGTTCTGCACGCCGTAGCATGATGTACATGAAGGTGTATCGAGTAAAATCGTCAATAAATGTCACGAAATATCTACCCTCAGCGATGGAGGGGATGTTCATCGGCCCCCTGATGTCAAAGTGCACTCGTTCGAGAGGCCTCGACGTCTTTGGGAGTTTGTTCTTGGAAATGGGAAGTACCTTAGGACTTCGACCTTAGACATGTCTTACATGAGGCATGAGCCGTGATGGCTTGTTGTGAGATCGGAAAGTCGAATTCGAATGACGCCGCAAAATGTACAGCTTGTCATGACTGGCGTAGCCCAATCGATGGTGCCCTGGACACTGGACTTTGTCAGACGGACAGTCGTGGCCGGGCCATGATAATGTATGTGGGGTAGCGTCGGTAGCGCATAGTCGGCCTTAAACTCGCCATCGTACGTGGCTAGAGTCCACACGTTGGGATCGATGGAAACAATTCGGTGTAGGGCTCGACCAACGGAAAAGAGGTTAAAATGTAGTTCTGGGATGTGGTAGAGATCCTGCAGATAGACCGCGAATGGGTCGCCGTTGGAGCCAGTGACGTAATATATAACAGTGCCGCGATCTATGACGTGAAGTGGTTGGCCATCGGCTGCACCAGCTAGTGATGAGTAGGTTTCGTATGTGACGAACCATTCTTGTCTGAAAGTGGAGTGCTTGGAAGCACCACTGTCGAATCTCCATAGTCTAGTTGTTGTTGAACTATAGGACTAGTCGGTGACACACGAAGTGCCCAGCCAGTAGCAGTAGCTGCGAATAATAGTGATCACGATATAAATGTATTGAGGGAGTCAAAATGTGGACTAAAATGTTTTAGTATTTTTGAAAATGTTTTTGGAATTATACTTGAAGTGTTAGTGGACTGTTGTAGTACCGAAAACGAGACATGTTTTTGTTGTTCACGAGGTGTCGTTAATCTAGGCAATGGTGCCGATTGAATTTAATCTAGGCAATGATGCCAATTGATTCTTAATTAATCTAGGTGTATATAATCTAGGCATTGATGCCGATTCGTTGTCACGAGATGTTGTAAATTTTGGCAAACGTGCCTGTTCATGAAGACTGAAATAACGAGTATGGTCATGTTGACGAGAAGCGTCGCTGCGATTTACGCTACGAATACGACTACCATGGTCGTTTCCTCCAGTATTTTCACCGGGGCCACCTTGGTGGCCGCGAGTGCGGCTTCGCCGGTCATCTTGGAGGGGGTACAGCTCCGGAGGAGGCAAACAATGATAACCATCATTGATGGAATCATGGGCCGATCGCCGTGGTGGCGAAACGGACTTTCGTCACGTTGATCGCGAATACGCGACTTTTTTGGCCGCCTTGGGCATGGTCTCGTTGTCAATGACTGCCTTGGGCGTAGCCATGGTTTGAATAACCGCCATGGTCGTAACCACGTTGGGAGTGGCGGCCTTGGGCGTAGCCGCTTCGATGTTGACCGCCATGGGCAAGGCCATGTTGGAGTGCGTTGAGCAACGCACCAACATCAACTTGTTGATGGCCGGATCGACCGCCGCGTGGGCGATTGGTGGGTCTTTTGTCGGGGTGGGAACGCCTATTACCCTGGCCGTGTTGGTTTCGTCGACCACAACCGAGCGGTGGGAGTTGCCCTGGCGGGATTGCCACCCATCCGGTTGGGAAAACGAAGTCGCGTCGCAACGCATTTTGGTGGAATGCACAAGAAAGCTTCGTGCAATCTATCGAGCGGTGACCTGCATGTGCGCAGTAGTCATAAAAGCCGGGGTCCTCGCGCGGCATGTCTCGCTGCGAACGCCATGGACTGAGGCCGGTCGTTTGACCGTAGCCATTATAGCTCGAGAGGCGTAATGCACTCGATCGAGTGGTTTCGGGCGCTTGGTCCGAACCATGAACCGGAACGGCATGAGCCGTCGGTTTGGGTCCCAAGAAACCGGGGTATTTCTGGGTCAACTCGTGCCAATGCTGCCGCAAGAGGTCACGCAGCTGGGTGTATGGGATGCTCGGACGAGTACCGCGCCATACTTGCACATCGTGTGCAATGCATTCAGGCAACGCGGTTAGCAACACCGATGCCTGGTGTGCTCTCGCGCTTTTCGACGGCCTTTCGAAGCTTATCCAAAGTGGCCAGGCTGCCGTCAATCGAGCAATATCGCTCGAACTTGAAGCTGTGGAGCTTGGTGTAAACATCCACGGCGGACGCAAACTTCTGTTCTTCGCTGCAGAGCCATTCGATGATGCAGTGGGCGCATTGACCGAATTTTGCGGCCGCGGCGCACTGCTTCCGACAGCAACGCATAGACCAACACGATAGATCGTTCGACATCAGCGTGTTCGGTTTTGATGAGTTGCTTTAGTGCGGCTTTGACCGCGCGAGCTTTCAGGAACTTGACCGAACGTTGTTCGGCCAGGTATTCCATGATTGGATCGATGAGCTTCGGCGCCACGTCATCGAGGACTGGTGGCAGAAGTGGGGGCTCCGACGACGGACGGAGGACTTCGTCGTCGATGTGTCGACGCAGTTTCTTGGTGTCAGCATCGAGGACGCGAAATGAACGCGTCAGTCCCTTGATGGACCCTTGGCTTCGACGCCAATGCATTGCGTCGCCTGAGTGGTCAGGCCTTCTCCTTGGAGGACGATCGTGGTCAACTCGAAGTTGCATTCGTCGAAGTTGTCGAGTCCTCGAAGGTGGTGTACGACTGAGGGGGTTGGGCGAGGTACCGCAGCAGAGGATGCGGTGGAGCTCATAACCAGTGGAAGGGTGCAGAAGCCGATTGTCGTGACAGCAGGATAATGCCAATAATGCCACCTACCGTCGTATTCTGGAGGCCTGGACCGGTGACGGAGGCTCAGCCTGCGGGCGCTTACACCTTCTTGCGGTGTGAGCGTTATCGCTATTGGGGTCACTGCGTCCAAGGTTTGCTACATTACACCATGAACCACTATTTTATTGAGTTTAATACAACATAGAGGGTATATCTGCAAAAACGTATACAAATGATTAGATAGCATTTTATCTACCGGTACAAAATAAAGCTAGGGAGGTTGATGTCATCTCAAAAGAATGGTGTACTTGATAGCCATCTCCTTCATCAAATCCTTGAGTTCATGGTCGTCCAGCGAACCCTCCATGTTCCCGTTCTCCTCGATGGCACCCGCAATGAGCTGGCACTTGCGAAACCCGTTCAAGATCACACTCTGAGGTAAGTTGTTCCATGTCCCGGTGATCCATGATACCATTGCAGACCGCGACAGACACCGGAGCTTGAGGTTAGTTGCCTTTCTGATACGTACCTGGCGACGAATTTCAATGAGCCAGTCCTTCCACAGGGCCGCCTTCAATGGACGAATCCACGCAACATCGCCAGGCTGGCTGCACCAGGTGAAATGCGGCGGTACACGCTCCAGCAAGACGTTGATGGAATTTTCGTAGGCAACCACTTCGTCGGTGAAGTGCGCGCTAAAGTCATCTCAGAGCAGGATGACAGCCTTGTCCTGACGGCCTTCTCGCACTGCTAAGGGGTAATTGAGGAAGGCCATCGAAAGGCTCGCATTCCACCACGCCATAGGATTCTGGTAGATTTCACAACTAAAGCATTGTTGCAGTGGTTCAACCTCATCCCACTCATACCGCCTAAAACCATACCGCACGGTGAGATACTCCTATACGACTTCATTCTACTTGGATTTTGCAGTCTTCATAACAAGAAACAAGGGATGCTTGGTGCCAGTCGAATTGGTGAGAAGCATTGCCGTCGCGCGCTCTTTGGTCTTGGCGCCACATTTCACATACACAATCTTCTCTATCGTTGGTCGACGTCTTGGAGGGCAGGTACTCGTAGTTTACTCCTGTCCTTATCCGCGATGAAGATCACGTCTACGTCGTCGGCCAGCGCTCGAGGACACCCTCGGCAAACGCTGCTAGAATTGCTGTGTCATCATAGTTCGAGTCTTGACCGATCTTCGTCTTTGCCCGGAGAGATAGCCCATGGTGCCGCTTGAAGCCTTGGATCCAAAGCCACCCGGCGGAACTCGTCGTCGGTGATGCCACTCTCGATTGCTGTTTCCAGAGCCATCACACGCAACATACTGTATGTAACCGGAATCCCGTCCTTCCGCATTCCAAGTACCCAGCGTGTCAGCTGCTCTTCCTCCTCGGATGACAAAGTCGTTCCAATGCCACTAGGTCGGACAAACTTTGAATGGGCTGTCGGGGCCATTTGGAGGATGCGGTCTTTTCGCTTCAACCACCCATACACTTTCTTTCGAGTTGTGTCGCGTTGGGTCCGAAATGAGTTCGAGCAGAGTAGCTGTCAAGAGAGGCTACCATGCCAATATCGGTGACCTGATTGATAGCCTCCAACCTGTGTTGATAATCAACAGTCTTGTACTTGTAGAGACGGAAGTGAACCTTCCTCCTGTCTTTGGATACAGGGTGTCCAGCGGGTTTGCGACGAGTGGGTGGTGCGGTACTGTTGTTGGCCATGCTGGAGTGTCTGACGATTAAAATGTGGCGCGCATGCTTTAGCGGCCATGAAAACCTATAAGATTAGTCTATCGAGTACATATGAAATATAAGAGGTACTTATATGCGTGAAGGAAGTAGCTGGTCTCCAGGTCAGATGGGCATGAATGTCCAAAATATGAATACTAAAACCAAGTATAAATCGATTGATCCTAATTTGAACGGCGGCTGTTCGCAAGAGGCGACAAGTACGATCCACGCACAACAATGGAGGCACGGACAGAATCCGCTACTAATATTTCAGTACGACGAAGCACATAGCGGCGTTGAACAGCCGCACGCTTGGACTTGTTATCGTCAACCATGCGCTTGTATCGCGCGAGAACAGAGCGGTATTGATGGTGGTCGTCTTGGCGGAGGGGCATCGTGAAGACATGGAAGTTAGTGAGCGCAAAGGCGAGCGGTTGAATTGCATCATTCAATTTGGTGCCCCACACAAACGTAGAATTCGAGATCTTCCTGAGCAAGCACACGCGCCCAAAGAAGTTCTCGACGATTACGCGGTCGGACAACACGTTGGCGTTGCGATCAAGGTCCACGCGGTAGAATAAACCGTTGACGGGCTTTTTTTTGGGGTGGATGGCACGGACGGCGGATGGTAAGTCCGATGTACACCTTATCCACAAGTACAGCCCATGAGTTTGGAAACCCATGAAAGAGCTCACCAATGTCGTTGAAAGCACCATTATTACCATCCTTGGCAAGGACAGCGGTGTGAACATCCAGGCGATCGCGGACCATCGTGACGTCGGACACAGATCCCGGCTCGTGAAGGCTCATGCCGACAAGATGTTGGACGGCTAAAACTTCACATCAGTGGCGTACTTGGCGTAAGGGTAGTGTGGGAACACTTTACCCTTCTTGCGCAGCTCACTCATAGCAGGCATGGTGACAAAGTGGTTGTACATTCACCACTAACACAATGATAACGAGGGGAACTGATACAATATACTAGAGGATTTGCCCGTCGTTGTTGCTTGCGTCAACGATGAGCAAATTCACTTCTGCTAGAAAGACAAGCGTTATATAGTCCTGAACCATATCTGGACCGGCTGGGATAGTTGTTCGACGCCCCATAATCTAATAAAAGCGAGAGCTTGGCTGGAAAGCCAGGCACGACAAGTTCCAAACAAATCGTTTTGTTAAACGCGACACAGAAGGATATTTGCGTCCGAGGTTAGGTCCTCAAGGTGTGTCAACATGCCACACACCCAAAAGGACCTCGGTTGTCCCAGTAGGACGCCTCGCGCGTACTGGGATCGACCTTTTTCTGCCACACCTGAGCCCAGGGCGGAAAGGCGGGCGTCAGCAGCAGTGCTGCTCACGCCGCTAGGGAGACAACAATTGAAATCACGTGCGGTCGTCCAACGCTTGGGCTATCATGGTGACATCCATGTCCGAGGACTCCGCGCACTCATTCGCGAAGAACGAGGAAAGCGACTCAGAAAGCGCGACCCGGACGGCTTCTTCGTAGGTCCTCAGGTAGGCACGGAACCGCTGTGTGCGTGCGCGTCCTTGATTGAGACCATCCATGAATATAGTCACGCGCAAGAGTTCAGGGAGAGATCCCTCATCGATAACGTTCGTTGCCAAGAGCGAAGATCTTGAATTCCTGAAGGGAGAATTTCCCTTGCTTGCACGCAAATCGCTGTTGGGCAGCAAGAATATCACCTTGAGTTCGGCCTCCAAAATCGAGAAAGACAGAAAGCGCAGATGATCCGTCAAGCATTTGGAGAAAGTCCAATCTTACGAACGCCCCTTCAGTAGCAGCATTGCAAACATCACAGATATGGCTTGGTACGAGATGATCTGGGCGTTTAAGGTGGTTTTGACCTGTAAAAGCCAGCGGACGAGTTTATCCGACTCCTAGCCATCGAACATGACGACTTCCAACTTGATCGACACCACACGAGAAGCCGATGAGTGATTCCAAAACACGCGCGAGGTGTGCATCCTCATACTAAGCGAGTCGAAGGGAATCTTGAAGGGTGTTGCCGTTGGTCGGCATGGCGGTAGTCTGCTCTTCCAAGGTCGCGATTGTTTCACGGGCGTCTCGGAGAGGTTTCGCCCATGCGAAGTCATATAGACCACCTGTTCATCCAGCGTCAAGCGAGCAGCTAACTTAGCTTCTGCGATGGAGTGTTCAACATATGCCTTCCACAAGGCGTTTTTGATCATAGGGGCCATCCCACCGAGAACCAGCCCGGTATCGATGTTGCCAAAGCTGCGATGCAGAAGGGCCAGGACCGCCTGATGCGCTGCCGTGTTGGTGGAGGACTGGTAGGTGGTCTACTGGACGAACGTGGTGTGCTACCAAGTGTGAGCGTGCGCAGAGGAAGGCGCAGGAGATGGTAAAATGAAGAATGAATTGATAGCGTTATGACTTCTACGCTATCACTAAGCTACGCGCAACGAATCATTGTTTGGTTGGTGAATATGGCTGTCGTTCAGGCCGACGAACGACACATAGTATCTTCGAGGGAACACCTTGGACTGACGTGGTGTCGATTGGCATCCGGATACCAAGATGATAGGTACGGTTACACTATTGGGGACAAACAAACCTGCCAAAAACTATTAATACATGAAAGTCTATTTTTTATCGGGTACACAATGACGTCGTGTCGACATGGTGGTCCTAATTCGCAACGGTTGCTAAGCAACTACGGGAGCAGCATGGCTGCTTCCACGACGACGTCTACCGTGGAGAGGTAGTTGCGCGCATAATACGGTCGCATGTGGTCCTTGTCCTTGTACACAGGCTCGCCTTCTGCCATGGACACGACTTGGCACAGATCTTGGTAGCATTGATTATCGGAGAAGTCGACGAGCGTGGCTTGGGCGTTCGCGACTGCACGTTCCAAGATGGAAATGACCGATGCAAACGTTTGTCGAAACACCGAGCGTTTGATCGGGGTCACGGTTCCCACCGCATTCCCATTGACCATATTGCGGCCGCTGAACTCGGGGCCTTCGGGGTTCACGGTGGCAACAAACACCTTCTTGCCTGACTGCACCAGGGCCGCGAGCTCGGCCTGGAACATGTCGGCCATGGCCTGGACGTCCGCCAGCGTCTGGTACGCGCACGCGTCCTGGTACCCAGGTGTGCAACAGAGGGGGGTTGCGCTCGGGACCGAGCCGGCCCCGCCGCCCGCGCGCCAAAACTGGATCCAGTTGGAGCTGTAAAACACCACCGACGGCTGTAGGTCCCGCACGAGCGCGACGTCCCCCCCATGGCGACCATTGCAAGCCAGAGGGGGAGATCCATTGGCCGACCGAAACACGATCGTGGGGAACTTGGCAGCCCCGTTAACCGGGTCGGCCGCCACGGCCAGCTCCAGCAGTCGCTTGAACCGAGGCATGAGCATGTTGGCGTGCGAGTCGCCGAGCACGATCACGTTTGGGAGACTCGTGCCCCTCCGGTTAAGCACTTTCATCGTGTCCTCGGTGAGGGGTTCCGTGTACCCTTCGTATCCGTCGAGGGGATGCCAGTCTTCGATGCCCGCGAGGATCTTGGCAACCGTGGGGTCGCTCGTTCGAGGCGGTTTGCTCCAGTTCAAATGGACGCGGGTGGTGACTGTCGTGGATGTGTTGGTTGTGGCATTCACAATCACGGTAGTCGTGGTGGCTGTTGAGGTATCGTTTAAGTCATTTAGCACTGGAACACCTGCCACGCGTTGAGCAGGCAACGAGAACGACGCGGGCAAGTTGAACGCGGCAAGTGCGACGCCCCCCAAGACGACCATGCACACGACCAAGCATGGAACGAGGAGTGGCGATGGATGCCGCCGCGTGCGGTTCTCCACCAAGTACAACGTCAGGATGCTCAATACGACGGACAAGATCATCATGGTGTACGGCTGCATGTACCAAGGGCGCGAGAGGTCGTTGGGGAAGTGAGCCTTCGCAAGCACAAGAAGTGGCCAGTGCCACAGGTACAGCGAGTAGCTGATGTTGCCAACAAATACCATGACGGGGTTGCCGAGGACGTACTGGTTGATCGGCGAGTCCTTGCCGGCGGCGAGAAGCCCCAGCGCGCCAAATGTCGGCAGGAGGGCCCAAAACCCAGGGAAAGCATCGGTTTCGTTGATGACAGCGTACCCCACGACAAGGACCCCCAGCGACATGAGGGACAGCGTCGAGGCCACCACGGGTTTGGCAGCTACAAAAATAGCGACGGTTTTCAAGTGGGCGTGTTCGAACGCGAGCAGCCCCCCCAGCGCCATTTGCCAGAACCGACTGAGCGGGAAGTAAAACGCGTACTTGTTGGACCCGTCCACCCCAAGCAGCAGCACGTTGCAGGCGAAACTGCACCCAATGAACACGACTTGGGTCAGCAATGCGCGACGGACCGACAGGCGTAGCAGAACCGACACCAGGAACGGCCACACGATGTAAAACTGCTCCTCGACCCCCAGGGACCACAGGTGCAGCAGTGGATTCTCCTTGACGCTGGCGTCAAAGTACCCTTCATCGACTGTGAGCAGCTGCAGATTCGCGCCAAACAGCGTGCCCGCCACCAGCGTGGCCGACAGCGTGCGTAGGGGCGTCTTGAGCAGCCAGCAGCACCCGACCACGAGCGTCGAGGTGGCGACGACCAACAGCGCGGGATAGATGCGGCGGATGCGGCGCGAGTAAAACGATGCGTACGTGAAAGTATGCTTGGCGCCTTCTTTGAGCAAAATGGCCGAGATGAGGAACCCCGAAATCACGAAAAACACGTCGACGCCCACAAACCCGCCTGGAAGCAGGGCGGGGTACGCGTGAAAGACCACGACGGGCACCACCGCGATGGTGCGTAGGCCGTCGATGTCTGGTCGGTACGAAATGGCATGCGAAGCCGTCGTCGTTGCCTTGGAGGTGGAGGTTTCGGTGGCGGCTTCGCCTTTCTTGGCTGTCGTCGTCGAGCCGTCCTCGACCAGGACGTATCCCTCGCTACTGCCGTCTTCGTTGGCCGTGGCTGAACTGGCGGCGGGAATGGCAGACGAATGATGCACCGCTGTGTGGGGGTCGCCAGTGGTTTCCACTTGCACAGAGGACTCCATGCCCCCTGGCAGCGGCGCCCCCCGCCCCTCTTCCGCATCGCGTTCGACCTCCATCAACCCCACTCGACAGGATCGATGAATTAAGTTACTACTACGTGGGGGGGCACATGCCTTTTCCCGGCGGTTGAAACGCCTTGTCCGTTATTTCGCCGGTTCCAAATCAAAAGCTGTATTTTTTTAACCACACCGATCATTTTCATGGAAGGAGTTAGTGTTTCTCATGCTTGACATATGGGGGAACGATGCCTACATCGCCACGACTGTGCTCGTACCATGGAGTCTATTTATCCTTGTAGCTGAAGTGTCATCGGAACGAGAATATCTGGAACCATTGAGGATCTTATAACACGAGATATATAACCGATACAGGGAACGACGGTGAATAGTTAGTAGTGGAGGTCTAAGGACCTCGTTCCCCATAACCAGTGTACTAGTACAGGTATCAACCGACCCTGGCTCTGGGAAGTGTGCTGTCACAACCTTGCGTGGGGAACCGAATTCTGTGTAACCAGCCCATGTGGATCTATTGATGGCGATGGGTCACGAGGCGTACATCTACTACAGTATGTTGATTTCAAAGGTTGACAGTCCTATGGTGCTCCAACTTTGTATTGATATTTTTTAGGAAAATAAACCGTAATACTGATAGAACTGGACAAGCCCAACAGAAGTAAGTTACGGTTTAGATTTTAGATTGGTGAAAAATTGAACGAGTAATAGAATTTTAAACCAACCGGCCTTTTTGTATGGAAATAAATGGCGTCCAAATGAAACAAAACCTACACGAAGGACCCCCCCCGCCTGAACGATCGTGCAAGAGCCAAAAAATGCAATCCCCGCTCGTATCTCGTTGTTCATCCTCATCATGGTGTTAAATTGTTCAGCCATGTCGACTTCCATTAAACACTGTTAAGGACTTCACTTTTCGGGGGCACGGCGTGCAATTCCATTTTGAACATGAGGGGAGCTCGAGTACATAGCGTTTAGTTGAATATGTCAAATACAACCTGGCTAAAGTTAATCGCATAACACTAATAGATGATCAACATGTAGTTCTGTTGCATTAAAGCTGTCGTTGCCACACAAATCAATGTACTGACAACCCGACCTCCATTCAAACGACGAGCGATCAACCCCGCCCCTACGTGAGTTTCGGGTTTATATCTGCAACGAAACGTTGCCTAACAATAGCTCTATGTTTCGGCTATACTTGGATCACAACTCCATGATACCAGTTATCACGGCGTCGCCAGTGTGCAATTCCATGGCTCCTCAACAAGCCATCTCGCCTCGGCATCTCCAGGACCCCCATTCGTCGAGAATGTCCCCGCCTGTTGACGACTTGGATGCGGTCGCGCTAGTGCCTCCGACAGCCGACGGAATCTCCTCGTCCGACGACCTAGAGCAAGCCGGCACCACCACTGACGGGGCCAAGAAGCCCCCCAAGCCCCCCATCACGTACCGAGCCGACATTGACGGGCTGCGCACCGTGGCGATTGTGCCGGTACTGCTGTTCCACGCGTATCCAGAAAGGTTCTCGAGCGGGTTCGTGGGGGTGGACGTGTTTTTCGTGATTTCGGGCTACCTCATTTCCAGCATTTTGTTCAAGGAAATGGCCAACGGCAAGTTCACGTACGCCAACTTCTACGCGCGCCGCGTGCGCCGCATCTTCCCCACGATGCTCGTGGTGCTCACGACCACATTGTGGCTCGGGTGCTTGTACCTGCTGGCGGACAAACTAAAGGCGCTGGCCGCGACCATGCTGGCGGGTACATTGTTCGGGGCGAACTTGCAGCTCGTGAGCTTGGAGCGCGGGTACTGGGACGCTGATATCAAGGAGAACCCGTTGCTGCACTTGTGGTCGCTGGGCGTCGAGGAGCAGTTCTACTTTGTCTGGCCGTGTGTTGTGGCGTACGTGGTCAAGCAGCCGGCGACCCGGGCGCTGGGGGTGCAGCTGTTCCTCCTCGTCTTGAGTTTCATCGTCAACGTGGCATTGGTAGACGTAGATGGCTCTAACAAGTACGCGTTCTACGTCCCCGTGGCGCGATTCTGGCAAATGGGAGTTGGCTCATTTCTGGCGTATCTCCACCACGCAAAGTACTCGCCCCTCATGTCGACCCCCGATGGCTTGAAGACGCGACTCTTTTCCGCTTCGGGGGTCCTCCTGCTCGTGCTTGCCTTCGTGTCTCTGGACGAATCGCGAGCGTTTCCCGGCTTTTGGGCCGTGCTGCCCACATTCGCTGCCGCGCTCCTCATTGCCGCGGGCCCCCACACCCTTTTAAACGCGCACGTGCTGTCGGCCACCCCCGTCGTGTACGTCGGCAAGATCTCATACGCTTTGTACCTATGGCACTGGCCCCTGCTCGTCTTTGCCAAGGCGCGATACCCAAACGAGGACTTTCGGCCGTTCTACATGACCCCCGCCGCCATGCTCGTGCTGGCGTTCGTGCTGAGCATCGCCACCGTGACCAACGTCGAAATCCCCCTACGCCACAACAAGTCCAAGAGGGTGCTTCCGGCGCTGGTGCTGGGAATGGTCGTTCTGTGCGTCGTGTCGGCCACAGTGTACGGCAACCCTGGGTCGTTCTCGTTCACGCAGCAAGAGATTGACGCTCTGCTTGCCCCTTCTTCTACCAGTGGGGGGAGCACGATTCAAGTGGGGGGTGGACTTGGGGACAAGGATGGAGTTGTTCTAGCCTCGACGACGGCGCCATTGGTGGCTGGGGCGTCTGCGGGAACGACCATGTCACCATATAACGTAGAACAAGGGACTGTCACGACAGGGAGCCCCTTGCTTGAAGGCCCGCCAGAAACCAACGTCGGTCCCTCCGCCGCCCCAGTGGCAACGGCTGCTCCGGTTGTCGAACAACCCAATTCAAGCCGAGGACCTCGCGTTCAGCAACCAACGTACGTCAAATTGGCGCAAGCAGCAGGCGACTGGAATCCGGACGTCGGGTTCGAGTGGGTGCCGGAAGGGTCCCCGTTTGGCCGCGACGACCACGCCAAGATCTTGAACCCGGATCAGTTCACGCTCATCGTGGGCTTGGGGGACTCGCACCTGGACCAAGTGAAGCCCCGGTTCAACAAACTGTTTGAAGACGCCAAGGTGGAGGGGAAGCCGTTTCCAACGATGGTGTTCAAGACCCACGACGGCACCCCCGCGCTCTCATGCGCGTCCTCGTGGCACCCGTTCAACATGAACATGATCAAGGCCATGATGCCCAAGGTGGTGCTGCACAGCATGAACTGGCCCCAGTTCCTTCGGCCGGGGGGGGCCGACTCGGACCCGTTGCATGCAGACGCACTGCGCTGCTGCATCCCTGGCTACGTCGACAGTTGTGACTACCAGAGCCCCAAGGACGTCGTGGAGCTGCTGCGGATCTTCCAAGCCCAAATGACAGAGCTCACAGCCCTTGGGATCAAAGTGTTTGCCGCGACGACCAACCCCGAAGGCCCCTCCTTCGATCCGAACCATATGAAGCACGGGTCCGGGGTCGGAGATGTCCGGCCCGTGATTCGGTCGGCCTTTCGCCAAGCGCACCGCGACCTCCTGGACAAGGTCGAGGCGGCGATTGTGGCGTCTGGGGCGACGCTGATTGATTACTCGGACAACCAGTGCTGGCACGACGTGTGCGAAGTCGTGGATCAACAAGGCGACCCCATCATGAAGGACTCCAACCACTTCCGCCCTGGGTTTGCCAGAAACTACCTCAGTGTCCTCGATCAAGTCATAGCCGCGGCCTATGCGAGCTAGGTCCATGTTGTGGTCGTGCTATCTTTAACAACTATTCAATCCTAGATACATATATGTACTACATAAGTATGTGTTCAAATGTTATGGACGCAGCCGATGTTGAATGGTGTCTTGGTCGTGCACGAACATGCGACTGTGAGACATACATCAGAGCATCACAGAGTGTAGTTAGTACTACGTAGTAAGCCTGTGAGGACAACATACCTTGAAGTGGTCGTTAATTCGGGACTACTACGTAGTACATAGATACACTATCGGCGGAACTGGCGTATTGGTAGTTAGTTACTGAGTGTAGTACAGATACTACCGGGGGTAACGTTAGTATATAGTATAGTTGGCCAGTCCATAATGTACTACTTGAAGTAGTTCTCTTTTGAAACTTTCGACAGGGAATAATGGCGAGAACTCCATCAGTATGCCGACCTCCACAGATCACGACACGTCGGGCGAAAATGCGAAGGCTTCGCATGATGCAAATAGGTTTTAAGTCATACACTAACAGTTACTAGTATTACGAGGTCGTTTCGTCAAACTCTTCAAAATCCTCGTCCAGGAGCTTTCGCTTCTTCGACTTCTTGACGGTTGGAGTCTTCCCAGGCACAGCCCTCCGTCCGCTTTCGGCGGCTGCGGACGACAAGGACGCTGATGCTTTCTTCTTGGAACGTTTTGGTTCGTCACCAGTCTCATTCGTGTCGGCGTCGTCCCCTTGATCTGTGGAGGCAGTAGTAGCCGACATTGTAGAACTTGCCGCGGCAGATTTCATTCCCGTGTGCACACTCGAGGTCGAGAACAACTTCTCATTGTCTGCATACGGGCGAACCTTCTTCAACAGCGCGTCCTTCTTGCCCCTCAAGTCGGCATATCCGTCCCATCCACGAATGATGTTGCCATGCGCGGTGTCGTCAAGGTAATTCGCTTCGTTCTCCCGGATCTGACCTTCCACCTTTGCCAAACTCTCCTCCAACTTCCGCTGGGCCTCTTGAAGCGCCTTCATCCCATCGATAGTTGTGCCAGTCGTCTGAACTACCGGCGACTTGGCCGGAGCTGGCGGCGGCGTCGGCACGCTCGGAGAGGTACTCATTCGCACAATAATAATGTTGGGATTTCGCTACGGATAAAAATGCTGCATGTTATCCGATACTGGTACTCAGATAATAAATGATTGTTTCGAAAATGATCATTTATAGACATTTTGAAGAACCTTTCTACTTCGAAGTATTAAGTGTGTCCTATAATAGATGAATTGTTTGCTTAATTAAATTGATTCATTTAATGATATTTGCAAAGTTGCTTTTGTTCACCCGCAATGTGGCTCCGCAGAGGGTACTATGGCGGGGTGGTCCTGCGGGTGCTGTTTGTCTTGTCCATGGGCATGGTGCATCCTGACGAGTTCTTCCAGTGTCCTGAGGTCATGGCCAAGTCTGTGTTTGGTCTGTCTCACGCGTTCATTCCTTGGGAGTACCAGCTGCCGCTCCCCAATCGGTCCGTATTGTTTCCGTCGGTGGTGGCTGGTCTGCCCTATTCGGTGTGGAAAGCTCTTGGGTTTGACGCAAACGGCGTGGCGTTCCTTCTCCTCCCCCGCCTCGTTCTCCTGGCGCTCTCGTTCGTGTACGACGTCACGATTGCCATGCTTTGTCGGCGCGTGATGAAGGTCGATCCATGGGGACCGCTGTTTGCGTTCTCAACGTCGTGGACATCTTGGACCTTGCTCACACGACCCTTCTCCAACACATGCGAGTCCTTCCTTCTTCTCTTGAGCTTCGTGCTGTTGTTCCATCGAGCCGCGAGCACGTCGCGGACCGCGCTTCTCGGCATGACGCTTGCGCTTGGGACGTTTACCCGATTCACGTTCATCTTGTTCTTCCTACCATTGGGGCTGTATCTGGTGTGGGATAACGACCAAGACATGCAGCTCGTCGCGTCCAAGAAATCGTCCAAAGTGTCGGGTGCCCATGGTTGTGCCCAGGGCCACGCGACCTCGGCGGTGCCGTTGCCTCGCCGACTTGGCGGCGTAGCCCACACCGCCGCCGTGGGTGCCGCGTCGTTCGCCGTCACATGCGTGGCGATCGTACTGTTGGACACGCTCTACTTCCATGATGGCATCCTTCCATCATCTTCTTCAGGGTGGGTTGTAGCCCCCTGGAACAACTTGGTGTACAACTTGGATCCGTCGCATTTGGCCGAACATGGACTCCACCCCCGGACGAACCACTGGCTTGTGAACATGCCGCTGCTCTTTGGTCCGTTGGTGGTTTTGTTCGTGTTTCAGCTGGTTCAATATCTCACCAACCTCCATTCGAACGCCACGCCGCCCTTCCACGTCATGTGCATGGCGGCGGTGGTCGTGCCAGTGACGGCGCTGTCGTTGGCGCCCCATCAAGAAGCCCGGTTCCTGCTCCCAGTCGTACTGCCCCTCGTCCTCGCGACCCCCCTTGGCACTAGCCGTCGCCTTGTACTAGCTCTGTGGGTAGGCTTTAACCTTGCATTGGGGCTATGGTTTGGAGTACTCCATCAAGGCAGCGTCGTTCCGATGTTGCTGTCTTCTGGTGGCAGCCTTGCGTTGAATCCGTTTTGCAAGTCTAGTAAGGGGGGTGACTTGTACACAGAAATCCTTACCACGGGGACGTACATGCCACCACGCTTTGCACTCAGCCCATTGAACGTTCCACTACACGACACCCCCCTCCCCGACCTACACGCAGCGCTGGCCACTCAAAAAGCAAACGATGTCACACGTGTGCTACTGCTTGTGTATCCCGACCCCGTCGCAGCAAAAGTGGATGCGATTTTGCAAAGTTTGGACGCCCACCGCACCCCCATGTGGACGTGCTGGCCGTTCCTGTCCACTGAAACTCCCCCAAACCAAATATGGAACTCGACCGAATGGACACTTCACGCGCACACGGTGACGTGGACGTAGTGAAGTCAGATGGTTCCATGTGTACGATGTAGTAGTTGGCAACTAACGACCTACGTTCTAGTATACTAGTACTGTACAGTACTAGGTTGGTTGATTGGTCCACTATTGCAATGCAATACACCGCGTTCTTATGTAGTTGTGTAGTAGTAGTACTAATACTATTAATAGTATATATATTACAACACTCGAGATACACATATACTACTACTCAAGAGACAGGGTTTAGTGGTCTTGTTTACGCCGGCGTGACGTTGTCGTCGTCGTCTTTGGGGGTTAGGGGCAACGTCGGGTCGAATACGACGGGGCAGAGGGCGGGGCGCCATCGCGTCTTGAGTTTGGAGAGGCCGAGGGTTCCCAGCAGCAGAACCGGATGGACGAGGAACGTGCCAACGTACCACAGCGGCGACGCCTGGCTGGAGATGTCTAGGAACTTGTATGGCCAGAACCCGTCGTTCCAGGTTTCGTGGCCAATCCACGAGAACGCGCCGTAGAGCACGGGGAGGATGAGGATGTAGCCGAGCGTGGCTTTGCGCACGACGAACCCGTTGAGGGCAAACTCCCCCATTAGGAAGATGCAGTTGATCCCATGTTGGAACACGGACATGATCTTGATGGTTTTGTCCACGCGGGACGGGTACACGACGCCCCAGTACACCATACACACGAGGAAACTCACGGAGAAGCACACGTCGAAGAACGTGTTGAGCGCGCGGCTTTCGGCGGTTGTCGGCACGGCCGTCCCTGTGACGGCGCGGTGGCGGAACTGATGGACTGTCGCCCACACCAAGTACACGAGCTGCAATGTGAGGTTCCAGACAGTGTAGTACACCCACGCGAACGGCAGCGTGTTGTACCCGAACAAGGCCACGGCGAACAGCACCACGAGGAAGGCGCGATACCCGAGCAGGAGCTGCGACGGCGACGGCTGATACGTTTCGTGGACGGGAGCTTGGAACCGACGGACGAAGTACACGCCCACGGCTCCCATGGCCACCAGAAGGAACGCAATCACGAACGACTGCCACATTATTGTTCGAAGTGCTGGAATTCAAAGTGTGTGCATTGCGGTGGTGGTGGAGCTGTCACAGCAGGTACAGAAACCATGCGGCCGACGATGTCGAATTCCCATGTCAACATTTGCTATATTCAACATAGAGATATCATATCACGACCATATGCATTATGACATGATGGCAACATGATTAGTAAATCCAAATATAATATTGACGACGGAGTTATTTATTTTGATCTATACTGTAAGTTTTACTATTAATAGTAACATGTATCCCTAGTATTACTATTCGAAACAAACTGGATGAAAATGATGAAGTATAGTAATTCCAAATGCATGTCGAAAACAATACGACTTGGTAGTAATTGGTGTTGTATAGGGTTAACGTAATTCATGTACTCCGTCCGGTGACATCTGATAACGTGAGCAAACAAAAGTGCCTTTTGGCGACCTTTGGTGCTTGGTGTTTAGTTCTGCAAGAACTCATTGACATTGCCTTTTGATTTTATAGCCATGCCCAGTGCACATTCAAGGGTGTTCGGATGTGTGGTGGTAATATGTTGGGAAACTAATTAGTCGTTCATTGGTTTACCATCCACTTGTCCGTGAAGTTACTGTATGTGGATCGTTGCTTATTTTACAGTTAACCAACCAGGTATTCCGACAAATAATCTGTTCGAATAACGTTAACGTTATGGGTAAATATGATCACTTTGCGGACACCGGACAATTTCAGTCGGACATACTTGACATTTGTATTGGACTTAAGGGGAACGTAATTTGTCCGAATATATTTTTGTTTTGTCCAAATGAAATATGTCGGACATACTTGTGTATTGTATACACCCGCACAAGAAGGATGAGCTTTACAGTACTAGTACAGTAGCGAGCGACGACAGAGCATCCGCCCACAAAATTGCGCGCGTAGTATAATTTTGTGCAGGTGGTGCCTTGGGAAGGAGTGAGCGAGCCCCAATCGTGCACTTCACCGAATGCAAAGAAAGCAAATATTTGTCCGAGTCGTTATGGTATGGAAGTGTATTTACAGTTAGAGCATCCCCACCGGCTGATGTATACTTGTAAACTAGAGCTGAAAAGACCCGTTTATTGGATGCGTGCTGTAACAGTAGTACATCACTTCACAGCCAATCCACACCGGTTGGCAGAAATTGTAGCCCTGATGGAGCAAACTTGCGTAGGACTCCCACTGGCGATTGAGGTTTTGAAGCTCTCTCCAGTCGAGAATCTAGTGCGGCAGGGTTGGCATACATTCTATTGTCTGTAAGATTCATATTAATGCTGCCGGCGTGCTTCAGGACGTCAGGATGGCATGCTTCGTTGAAGAAGTCCATTGGGACCTCAATCGCATAGAACTGTAAACGACCCAACAGATCGATCTGTTGAGAAATCTGTGTGTTATGGAGCGTTTACATCATGATGTAAAATTTATTGGCAACCGGTGTGGGTCTGAAAAATGTAAATTTTGCTGATGTAGTGATGTACTTTGAGGATTTTTACAATTCTACATCAGCCGGTGGGGATGCTCTTAGGGGTGTACACAGGTCTAGCTACACTGTAATGAAATTGCACTATGGAGAAATTTCAGCCAATCAAAGGTCTGAATAGTTTGGCCTATTAGCCAAACACCACAACTGTAAATTTGTACTTCACTCCCCTACGACCAAAATGCGTCTTGGACGTACCGTACGCAAAAGACGTACGAATTAACTAATTTGTCTGAAACCTGTTTACTTAAATCAAGAGAAGAAATCTTCTTGAAATATTATTGAGCGACATGAGGAGGGGCGATTCTGTTCTGTCTATATTTAGCTCATTATATATTTACTTCAGTACGACTTAGACGTAACGTTATGTGTGGATAACATGGCGAATACGACAACTCCATCCGACATTGCTATGATTGGCTCATACGACAATGCAGACAACGCCCTGATTGGTCAATAAAAAGGAATATTGGACACCTTTGCCATCCAAGAAGTAGAGGGGATACCCCCTCTACTTACATTGGTCCGCCAGGTTTCCCTATTGGGCATGAACCCTCGCAAAATAAGGGTACCGGTCATTGCAATTGGTCCCGAGTTCTATCCCCTGGAATCGCGAAATTAAGTGCATGCATTACAAAATATGAAAATGTTTTACATGGTACCACTACGTTTTCTAAGTCTGACTTCTCGGAGAATTCTAGCATACGACGCAGTAAACCCCGTATACGCAGCTTCGAATTGATCAAACGTTTGGAACTTGCTGAAAGCCATGGCCAACGTCAGCCGCTCAGAGTACTTCTTCCTGTTAAGTTTAATCATGTCCTTGGTGTAGTCTTTCAGCGCGCACACCAAGCCAATGTTTGGGTCAGCAACAAACCATTGCTGCCACGCCTCACGTGCCGAGTGAGCAGTTGGGATTGACTTTTGTGCAACATACATGTCCATTGGCCGTTGTGTTCTCACTTTCGTAGGTACATGTCTGCCCACAGTGTGCTCTTGCAAGGCCTTTGCCAACGCCTGCCCAACAGCATCCACGGTGAACGGCAAGCCAACAGCCCCAAGCTCTGGCCACTGCGTCGAATGCTGAAACTTGGGGGTACGAAGCAGGTTACGAGGATCGATGTCATTGCTAATGCTCTGAGTCACGAGGTACTCACAACAGGTCTTTGCGTCCGTCCAACGACACCACGCCATGAGCTCACGGAAATTGAAGCGGCGCTCCCTTGATTCGAACACACGGTAAAACGACCCCCCACGGCGAAGGCTATGCAGTGATATTCCAATGGGTAGGTCGGGCGTTGCATCCACCAGGTCACCCAACCACTTGCGCAAATTGGCTTGCTCCAGGCCACGGTACCACTCAACCCTTGGCACCCCATTGTGCTGCATTACAACATTTGGAAACACAAAGGCGGTGCTTGTCAAGTCCACACAGTAAGCCCGCAGCTTGGCAGTATAGTCGTCGTGGAAGCCACACACGAGAAGGCATGGGAATGAAGTTTCGTCAACAAGGTGGTACACTTGACAGTCTTCCTCGACACCGGCCTTCTTGTGCCACCGCAGTGGTACCGATAGGTACCTTCCGATTTGATCCGACACGATTTGCACATCATTCCACCGTAGGGCAAGTACTTCACTCATGCGGAAGCAACCGAGAAAGCTCACAGCCAAGAGAAATCGCAGCATCGAGCCCAAGAACGGGTGCAGATTGGCCAATGCGTTGACAAGTGTTGAGAGCTCCTGCACGGTGAGCGGGTGCGCCTTCTTTTCCTCGTCCACATTGTTCTGCTTGTTGTACTTCTGAAGGCCAACGATGTAGTGGCGCGCAGTTGTGTCCTGTGCTGGGTTCGGCGCCACTCGTCTGGCGTTGAAGTAGGCAACAAGGGCTGACTTGGCCAAGTCGATGGTCCTCGCCTTCTTGCCCTGGCTGTACAGGTAGTGAAAGAAGTCTGTACACTCCTCAGTCCCAGACGTGGTAGGGTCAATGCCGCCTTTCTGTGTTTGCAGAAACATCTCGAATTGTTTTTGATACGTGGTGTAGGCGCGTCGAGTAGATGCACCGTGAAAAGACTCCTGGATTGTCTTCTTCGATGGGACCGTCGGCTGCCGGGTTGGAGTCATGTTGTTAATGGTCGATACGAAACCTCTGTCTTTTGGATTATAGCCAATTATATCTTGTTATTGCATTATGTCGATGATATGTGTCTAGACGACAGACACATCGACCAATAGGATACGTTAGAGGACATTTCTTCCAATTATAGATCATTCTCTTGTCGGTCATCCAATACATTCGCTAGAAAATGTCGGTTCGATGTCGGATGCCACCTACATGTCAAAATATAGTACTTAAAATGGTCCCATGGGAGTTTGACAGCATTGAATATTAATACCAACCTTGGATAACGGTACTATGGTTAATATAATATAATTGTTGAATTAAAAGCGTGGATGACATGGGATGAAATTGGATGAAGCTGTGGGATGAAACCTAAAGTAGTGACCAAGCCTTGCGTTGGCCCCGAGCGCCCGGGAGGCCGTCTGCGCAAGCGCGGCCGTACGAGAGCGCGGATCTAAGCTTCTCACTTTACCGAATGATCTATCTTTTCTTCTTCTCGGGCAGGCCGTAGGCCGTGCCGCTCCCGGACGACAACTAGAGAAGCAAAACGCTCCTGCGCGAGGATGCTGTCACATCAACAAACGGGGACGCGAAGAATATCGTTTTACAGTATTCGACACTCGCATTTGAACGATCAAGGGGGATATGCCATAATAAATTCGTCGAATGTAGCTGCAATCATGGAGGAGTAAGTCTTGCTGTACATTCGGCAGCCAATCGAAATTCGCGATTTGGCACAGAGGTCGCCGTGAAAGGTCATTATGTACATGGATTTCAAATACCGTATAGTGTATATGCATTGCGACGGATTAATCTATTGCGACTCCTGTAATAACTGATAATTTTCTTGTAATAACTGATATTTACTTGTGAACATGTTAAAATACTTCAAATTTGTATGACGCAATGGATTAACAAAATTTTGAGACCGAGTGTCGGCTGGTTGTGAAATATCACCTGTCGCAATACATATACACTATACGGTATCCGTAATAGTAGCATGTGTCATCCAACATTAATGTTAGGTTAATTAGTAGAGATGAGAGTAAATTAGGATAATGCTAACGTGATCGACCTTGATCGGCCAAATGACCATCGATTGGCCAAGGTGTGCGAAAAATTGACCCAACTTTTTTCAATACTTAATTCAAGTGTAAATTTTGGCCGATCAATGGTTGACTGTCTAAAGTGCCGAACTTTGACATTTTTTTGGCCTGCCAAGTATTGTTTATATCGATACATTTGAATATGCCGCGAAAGAGCTTTCCGTCAGCTTTCCGGAAAAGTTGGTTTCAATGAAATGCCATGAAAACCAATTGAGATATTTTAGTTTGAAAAATTTGAAAATTTGGCCGATCAATGGTCGATCACGTTAGGTCATTGCATACAGGCCTCGTCGCCGTTCCATTCAAGCGTTTCAAGACTTACTCCTCCACGATTGCAGCTACGTTGGACGAATATATTATGGCATATCCCCTTGATCGTACAAGTGACCAAGGTTGATCATGCGCGGTCGTCACTACTTGCCGGCGAGACTGGAAGGTAGTCGGCCGTCGTGGCGTGGTGGGGGCACTGGGTTGGTTCAATCGTTCGTTTGATTTGGGATAGACCCACCATGACCAAATGCAGCACAACATGCACGGCCGCGACGGCTGCGTACCAGAGCGGCGCATAGGGCGACGACAGGTCCATGAAGAAGTACGGCCACGACTGATGCCACGTGATGTGGTCGATCCAGGTCACGACGGCGTAGAGCACGGGGAAGAGCACGACCAAGCCCACGCTTTTCCAGCGAATCGTAAACGAGTTCAGCGAGAACTCAACCAGAAAAATCAAGACATTCGCGCCGTGTTGGACGTACACATTCCAGTAGAGGACAAACGTAGGGTCCACGGGATGTACCGCGACCCAGAAGAGCACGCTTACGAGGGCGCTGACCGTGACGGACGCGTCGAAGCACGCGTTCAGGTACCGCAGCTTCCTGTCCATCGCCACGTCGCGGCCCCAGGACGACCGCCGGTGCCATTGATCGACCAACGCCCACACAAAGTAGATGGTTTGCAAGGTAAAGCCCCATACAGTGTAGTAAATCCAAGCATAAGGCAGCCCAGAGTACGCCAGCGATGTGATGAAAAACATCACGACCGCCCCTCGAAAGCAAAACACTGGCCAAAACCAATGGACCAACGATGCCGCTTGAAGTGCGCTCTCGGCTGAGTCTCTGTGAACGTGACGCACGATAGAGCGAATACACGCCACGCTGATGCTTCCCATGAGGGCCGCCAGCAGCCACACTTGCCACATGATGGAACAAGACACTGTGATCGCTCCATGTCGGTTCAGAGATTGCAAGCTGCGTACAGTATTTTTGCTGGTGGGATAGGAACACGCTCTCCTCTCAAACTCTCATTGTGGCAAAGCACTGGTGTGAAATTTCAGAAGAGGTGAGAGTAATGGCAGATACATCAGTTTAATGTCAATCTTTATATCTGACAATTGAAGTCATTTTGTCGTTTGTACTGTAAATTGAGGCAATAAAGCGACGGATTGGGGGCCTATCACTTTGCATCTTCTTTTACTAAAGGCGACAACAAGCATGGGCCTTCGACTGAATCCGTGGGGAAACGTGTACTCATCGCTCGAGCTGGAGCAGATCACGTTCGTGCACCGCGTGTACCTGGAGGCGATGAACATCGAGGCGAAGGACTTGCCGAATGTGCTTCAGATGAACGCGACGTTCACGGAGCCAGTGTACTCGCCCAAGAAACCCGACTTTGACGAGCACACGTTCATGCGTCAAATGCAGGGCGTCGTGGGGTTGCTGCGTCAGCCCGCGGAAGAGATCATCAGTTGCATCTGCGGGTACCAGAAGGAGCGTCTCGACCGGTTCCAGATTGGCACGGCGTTCATGAACGACCCGCGCACGCTCTTGCTCGAAGAATTCAAAATCTGGGCCATGAATCGGCTTGCGGCCGCGGCGTGCACGACGGAAGCGTTCGAGAAGGAAGTGGAGAAGCGCAAGAACTACATCACCCAGCTCCAGTACGGCGGCGGCAACCTCTTCAAGCCCGGCAACGCTGAACGGACCCTCATGACGACCCTCAAGGACGTTCGGGAGATTCTGGAGCTGCGCATTTTGCCGATGATCGCATGCGAGCGGGCCCAAGCCAGCGCCAAGGAACACTTGACCATCGTCGAGGCGCGCGGGACCGACGCGCTGATCCACGGCATCCAGTTCCTCTTCAACGTTTTCCGCAACACGCAGAACGCGCCCGCGGACTGCACAATCACGAACCTCCAATCCCAGCAACACACTGCCATGAAGGTATTTTTTCTTTTTTTTTTCTTCTTTTTTTGGAAGATTTTGTTTTGATTTATAATCTATAGGAATCCATGGCGACGAAATCGGGCCAAATGCTGCTGCTGTTGCTCTCGACGCCATCGCTGCGGTACGTGTGTATACTTTGAATGAGTCTATGACGTGGCAACATCCCAGGACGCCACTAGAGTGACACGCGTATATAATATATATATATATATAGGACGTTGTTTCCAGAAAGCCACCATCATGTGACGGGAGGGGCGTCACAACTGCTAGCGCTCACGTCCGACACCCAAAAAGCCGCCTTGGCCGACGCGGTACGATGGTTCCTTTGACAAATATATTTTGATATTTATATATATATATTTTTGATAGGTTTTTGCCGATTCGTCCGCGGCGGCCATCATTCCAAGCGTGTTGCTGTCCAACCCGACAGTGTCTTGGACTCCCAAAGCATTTCTCACTCAAAGCAACGGCGGCATCGTCAACTTTCTAGCCCCCGACACTTATGGTGCGACACATTCGTACTTTTTTGGATCATTTTTGGGATTTTTAACGTCATTTTCGAGAAAAATCTCTTCTTTTTTTGCAAAAAACATCCACCGATTTAAACATTTCACATTTGTTGCAAAAAAAAGATCAAATGGTATCTCATGTTGTGCCTAGACTTGTTTGTGAAAATGCATGCGATGCTCAAGCTGATGGCGGATCTGTTGGTGTCGTGCCGCCAAGCGCGCCTCTTGGCGGGCACGGGCGGCGATTTGCTCGTGTACGGACCTGGTGGATCGCATTTGCGGCTGCTCATGGAAACCTTCCAGGCGGTACGCTACATTCAAGACGACATGTGGAATTATGATGGACGTACATATGTAGGTGGAAGGGGAAGTGATGAACTTGGCGACGGAATTGAAAAAGCGCGGGGTCGCCGAGCTGGACAAGCTCAAGTCGTCGTACAGTGAAAAGGCATGGCGCACGTGCTTTTCCCGCGTGCTGGCGCTGGAGACGTACATGATCAACGACGTGGCGGCGACCCAGGACCCCATCCGCCGTATCATCGACGCCACCAACCCCGTCATGAACTTTCAAATGGCCAAGGTATGTACATGATGGAGTAGGAGAGGACTCTCATGGTGACGTCATAGGATTTCAAAGCGTCCACGAACAAGTGGGTGGTGGAGAACTCGAACACGTGTGGCCACATCGCGCAAACGCTCAAGTTGGAAGGGATTGCCGCACCGCCGCCGATGTTGCCTCCGTCCACCACCAGTGCGTAGGAATGGAGAGGGAGGTGCTTGTTATGTAGAGCGGGACATGCACATTGTACGGACCAAAGTGGAATAGAGCAGGTACCATCAACGTCGTGACACACAGCCCCCGTCGTATATAGTTGTATGCTCGAGGGAGAGAGTGCAAGCATGCATGCAGCCCAGTCTCCCAGTCTCATATCCTGGACTTCCCATATGGTCGACCGCCTGCCTCCTCTGACATGTACGTGCTGGGCACGCTACACGGCACGAATGCGACGATTCCTTCAATGATGTCCGCATGCCGCCGATTCGTCCATGTTCCTCGTGAGTGTCGCGCCGGTGAATACCCTCTTAACTGCGAAATCGTACTTCAACATATTCCTAAGTTCGATTATGACACGAACTTAGTGAGAATATCACAGCTTTGCATACAAACATCCAGACGAACGTAAAGCGCACTTTATCGGGAGTGTAGTGTTGTCAGAAGGTACACAATTGGACTAGAGGAATGTATACCATAGTCAGTTGCATAGAAAAACGAAGTCTGCAAATTCGCAATTCCAAAGACGCAACACAAGTGACGATGGCGAACTGGGGCGTGAGATGGAACCCGTGGGACCAAGGGTACTCAGCGCTGGAAGTGGACCAGATGACGTTCCTGCACAAGACATACTGCGAGGTGTATAATAAGGACCCGAAGGACCTCCCGCACATCCTCAAGATGGACGACGCGTTCAAGGTGCCGGTGTACATGCCCGTGGTCGGCGACTTTGATGAGCACACGTTTGTGCGAAAGATGCAGGACATGGTGGGTCTGCTAAAGAACCCCGCGGAAGGCATCATTTCCAGCATCTGCGCCTACCAAACGGAGCGGCACGAGCGAAAGAGCTTCCATGTGTCGTACCTGAATGACCCCCGTACGCTCCTCCTCGAAGAGATCAAGTCGTGGGCATTGAACGTGCTGGCAAGTGCCTCATGCACGACGGAATACATTGTCAACGAAGTGGAGAACCGCATGCAGTTCATCAAAAAGATCCAGTACGGCCAGCAGAAGCTCTTTACTAGCGGCAGCGGCGAGCGCTCGTTGATGGCAACGCTCAAAGACGTGCGGGAAATCCTCGAATACAGGTACCGTTTCCATCTCCAAACGTCCTCTTTTTGCTTGGATTGAGAGGGAGATATTGGCGGTAAAGTGTCCTATTAGAAGTCGTTCTGCATACATAGTGTCGTCGGTCATGTACACTGAACAGGCGACCCCATTGTGGCAATAAGTTCAGTGTAAGATTGGCATTCTTTGGATGGGTATTATTGTGCTTTTCACCCACATTTGGACTTCTCTTATGCGTCAATTCGTACGAATCCATTTGATCTATATATTGGATATTCGGTATGAATTTCCGGACCCCGTTCAATCGAATCTCGACGAGCGAATCGAGCACCAATCTCTCCCATTGGTCAATCCGAAATTACTTGTCGCTGATTGGCTACAATCCATTTTCGACTTTCTACTGGAAAGGGCAAAGTGGATAATGGCCAATCAGATGTCTCGGCTCTATTTGTGCTCGATTGAACAAACCATGCAAAATTGGGAAATTTCAAGAAAATCGACAATACTAGTATAGAATATAATCAGGTTTTGCCAATAAGAGTTTGGATTGGCAGAAATTCCTCGACAGAACGTCATTTGATTGGCTTTGGCGATTCTAGAATTCATTCTCGTAAGACATTCGATGCTGCGGGGGAAAGGCTCCAGTTTCGAATGGATTGGACCTTATCATATCTCGGTTTTGCTTGTATATTTCCATGTCGAGAGCTTGACTTAACCTATGTATTGTGATGTCAGAGTACTGCCCATCATTGAGACGGAGCGAGCACATGCGTCGGCCAAGGAGCAATTGACGGTGCTCGAAGCCAAAGGCCAAGATGCGCTGGTCCATGGCGTCCAGTTTCTATTTTACGTGTTTCGCAACTCCCCAAATGCTCCGAATGACTGCACGATTGGCAACTTGCAGTCCCAGCAACATGCTGGCATGAGGGTATGTGTACACACTTTATTGACCAAAGTGTCGTCCTGCTATGGTGGACTGGTATCCTTCGAATCCAATTAATCACCTCGTCGCCGAATCGAATCATCACGAATCGACGCTAGTCGCTACTTCGATTTTGACTCGATTTGATTGGCTCGAAAGGACAAGTATATTCAACCAATCAGAACAACTCCAGCGTGTGGAAAGTGTATAGCGAATTCACAATATCGTGCTTTCGAGTGAAATTTCATTGTGTTGTGGTTTCTCGTTGGAATTTAAACCGATTTGATTGGCTACGTTAAATGAGCTCAAAATTATTAGCCAATCAAAACCTTCTAAATGAAATTCAACCAATCAGATCGATTGTGGATCGGTTTGGTCGGCGCGATTCGATTGCACCCCCTCCCCAAATTTGTATATCAAATCGACAATACCCGATTTTTTGTTTTTCGTTGTAGTGACTTACCAAACTCGATCGATCGATTGATCGATTCGTTGTACACAAGTTGTATGGAGAACGACGTTGTCGTGTGCTGATTGCAATCACACTAATACTTTTAGTCTCACCCGAATTCGAGGTTGACTAGGGTTGGTTTCCTGCCATTGGATTAGTGCAATACGACTCCTACCGAATCTAGTATATTATGGTGTTTGTGTCGTCGATGCATTATTCATTCATTCCCGTTATCGTCGCTCTGTGTAGAATCAACCCAACAATTAATATATATATATATATGTATCTTTGCCAATCTACGAACTATGGTAGGACGCCATGAACACCAAGTCGGGCCAGATGCTCCAGTTGCTTTTGGAAACCCCTGGGTTCAAGGAACTCTTTCCAACGTCAGTGTATGCCACGAGCCAGAAAGAAAAGTCGTCGCACCAATTGCTCTTGACCAACACCCCCGACGAGAAGAAGATGCTCGCCCAAACGGCGGTACAGTGTCTTGATGAGTTTAGGGGGGAAATCCACACTAATATTACTTTTGACAGGTATTTTGCGACGACCATCAGAATGCAATGGTGCCGGCGCTCCTGGGCCCACTCACAAACCCCGCCGAATACTTGAAGCAATCCAACTCGGGCGTCGTGGCGCTGCCTGCCGACACAGCCGGACCAGCGTTTGGTACGTGCGTTCATCAATCAGTTGGTTGTAATGTGCTTTTCAGTCAAATTTACCTGATTTGGGGGATTCATGAAATCACCAACTAATCGAGCAAAGGAGTACGATTGGGTACAAAGAATGAAGGTTGCAATATGATTGGCTAAAAAGATTTTCCGTGACAATAAATTGAAGTCACGCATGAATTAGCTGTTGATTGGTTGCACTGATGATTTCCGGCCATCTGATTGGCTACATTCTTCTGTCGAATGTGTCGATGCATTTCAACACGTCGCTCCAGTTTTGAAGAAATGGAACGTTATCGTTTGTATTGCTGTGGTGTGCTTATATATATATATCCGTGTTTTGCAAACATAACATATTGCGGCATTATATACCATCGTAGTATGTATCTGCGTGCTAAACATATTACGATTTATATATTTATTCATTTGGATCGAATGGGTGGCTCGATCGTGTACGACAACATATATATATATATATATATACATGTCATGTAGAGTCCATTTATGTTTTGTTTGAAAGACTTATGTTTGAGTATGCTATGGCAGTCGTGTTGGCTTTCAAACAGCAGAGTTTTCGTCATCCATCAACCCTCCATCGTCTGACATATCCCACTAGACAAATTTTGCCGACTTCACGCCATGCTCAAGTTGATGGCGGATCTGATTGTGAGTTGCCGCAAGGCGAGGCTGCTCGCGGGCCCCGGAGGCGACTTGCTCGTGTACGGACCCGGCGGCGACGCCGTGCGGCGGCTGCTGCAGTCGTGGCAGGCTGTGCAGGGCGAAGTGCGCCAACTGGTGACGGAGATGACGACGCTGGGGGTGCAGGAGCTGGACAAGCTCAAGACCAACCAAGAGCGCAACTGGCGAAACTGTTTCAAGGAAGTGCTGAGCATCCAGGGCTACATCAACAACGACATTTCTGCGTGTGTGGAGCCGATTCAGCAGATTTATCGCAATACAGACCCGGCCAAGGTCCAGCGCATGTTGAAGGAGGTAGGTATTGTCCGTTCAGCTCAATAAGTTTGGACTTGTCAAATCCATGATTGGCTGGATTGAATGGTGTGAATCCTATCACTCAAAGTTTCACACTATTTAGATGTACTATGTGCTTTCGGGCAATATGATCTGCCTATGCTTCTGCACATAGTTGGTTCTACCTCTCGAGTTTGGCATCAACACCATATCAATATCTATCACCGTTGGTTTTTGAATATTGAATGGTCAAAGTCAAGATTAGGTCACACTATTCAAAGTTGCACACTATTTAGATGTAATGTATGGTGCATTATGATTGGCCAAATTCGTCTGCACATACAGTATTTAGTTCTGCGCATTCCAGTCTTCATTCTGTATCACCATTTGTATTGACTAATAATTGGTCGTGTAGTTTCGAGAGGCGACGGGGCAATGGGTCGAAGAAAATAGTTCGATCTGTTCGCAAATCAGCGGCACCCTCGGGCTGCCCGGGCCTCAAGTGGCGCGACCGCTGGGCAAAGCGGCCGACATCGAGCTGATTGAGGATGACGAGAGCGCCGTGCCGTCGGCGCTGGTACTGTCGTCGTCTGATGCAGTGGCTCCAGCGTTATTGAAACCGTCGGCAAGAGCCAAAGCTCCAGAGAACAACTTTATCGACAGCATTGGCAAGTCAGTGGTGTCAATTTTCGGTGGCAACAACAACAATAGCAACGTCAATCCGACGGTGACGTCGGAACAACACGCCAAGACAGACGCCACCACTAGTGTGCCCATTGCTTCGAAAGCCACCCCCGTGCCCCCAAAAGACATTGCCAACGACCCCCCTCTCGGTACATTTTTATTTATATATATATTGCCCTTTTACCCAAAATTTGGACCTTTGAATCGCCAGATCTATATTGATCGATTCTTTGTACTGAATTTGGTATGTAAAGCGTTGCCCTGTGGTGATTATAATCACACTACTTTCAGTCACACACTAATTAAATATTGATGATGGATTCCTGCCATCTGATTGGGTAAATATATCCTTCTGCCGATGATTCTTGTGTACATTTGGTTAATCATCCTTCATGTTGCTCCAGTTTAGATTAAACACAACAATATATATATATATATAGATGTGGAACGTTCGTGTTTTGATGGTGTAATGCGATGAAATGTGTTTTGACATGAGATCATCTGTACAAGTCGTTGGTATGATTGTATGCGTAGCCTTGTTGGGGAAAGCCTTCAAGATGAACCTGCAGCCTATGTGTCTGTCGCTCTCCTTTTGAATGGCAATGACGAGAGAGAGCTGGTTATATTTTTCTCTATTCAATCACCATGGCGATCGTGGTGGCAACATGATGTTGTGGTTGAGTACACGATTTAGAATCTATATAATATTATTCCATGGACTTGTATTGAACGATGGGATGTAATTTCTCTCGTCTGGTCTTTAAACATGTATTACCCCTGGCGTTTCAATCAAATATGGTTGTGCCGTGTCGAATGTGGACTTTTATATTGGCTTCGCCAAATCCATATCATCGATCGAGTCATTGTACTGCATTTTGTATGGACCAGTTGTCGGATGGTGGAATTGTTTGCAATCACACTAAAAAGAATGAGATGTTGGGGAAAGTTCCATCATGTTCTATTCAACTTCAATAATATATAAAAAAAATACATCTCATATATGTTGTTCCATCTTCTTCTGTTTTCATGTCGCATGCACCCGTGTTTAAACTCAAGGATATATATATTTATATATTTGTAGGCACGTTGGATTCGTTACTGATGGTGCGCCATGTGGTGCAGGCCATGGGCAGTTTAAGCTGGAGCACGCGGTCCACGGTCCAGACGTGCGTGAGCTTTGAAAACGACCGCGAGCACGATGCATTTGTCATCTTGTGCGCCGTGTACGAGGCTGTGGGCGTCGAGACGGCGCCAACCTTGTGGGGTCAAGTCACTATGTATCGACACGAGCTGCTGCACGCGCTTCAACTGCACTTGACGTTTTTGCTGCACGTGATGCAGATCCTCCAGCATCGCATGGTCGTGTGCTCATCTCGTCCAACGACCGCCGCCGACAATGTCCTCGCCATCAAAGGAATGCGACTGTTGTTTGAAAAGCTCAAGCCCGCATTGTTGGACTTGCGATCCCAGCTTCACTCGTTGGAATCGACTTGGAGCAAGGTAAAAAACAACCACTCACATATATATTTTCAATGGATGTACATATATATCTATATATGATATTCGCCATGTGCCTTCTATATATATATGCCGAATGGCAAAGATCATATTGGATGAGATTGTATTGTATTTATATATATATGCGGAATGGTGGTGAACAACATTCGATGAGATTGTGTTATATATATATATATATACATAATTATATGTGCCGAACGGCGAAGAACGTATGTGGAAAACGTCGACATGTTGACGACAGCAACCATATGGCATCAAAACGATGCATGGCGTCGAGTTGTTGATTAATATATATATATATTTATTTATTTTGGATTGTAGATGGTGGATGCGTGTGACGTGATGAAGCACGGGATGGAGGCGGCGGTGGTGCATATGCCGTCGTTAGATCCGAAAGAAGAAGCGGACGGGATGGCCATGTACGCGCTGAATGGTATTGGCACGATTTCCAACATTGGCATGAACAAGAACGACACATCGGCCTCGGGTAAATATACATATGTTGACTGCGATACCTATATATATATATATATACATATCGATTACAATCAATATTCGAACGATATGATAATATATAATGTTATCCCTAGCGATTCAATCCCACATGGCGTACATGGAACAACTGGAATCGCAACTGGACAACCACAAGCGAACGTTGGTCACGCTTCAAAACAGCGTCGCAACCGGCGAAGGCACCGTGTCCACAGCCCTAGTCAAGCTACAAGTGAGTTGCATATCCTGATAAATTCGTATTCCTTGTATATTTTTGTGTATAATAATATATTTCTTCTAATATATATCTCTTGCTACGTAGGCGCTGGAAGAAGACATGGTGTATCGCAAGATGCTGTCGGAGGCGCGCCAACAGCAGCAAAAACAAGCAGACATCAAGGGCGGTGCCCCCCCGCCTGCAAACTTGATGGCAGACATTGGGTACATTTTCGGGGTACGTTTTGCATTGTATATGTTGAGAAAGCAATAATATTGGACAACTGAGTTTTTTTATCAGGCTGTGTATGAGCACGGATTGGCCAACGATGCGGTAGTGAGTGCGTGTGTGGACGATTTCTTCCAAAGCGAAATGAAGCATTTGAAGGCGGTGGTGGCCCAAATCAACTGACGAACGTTATATATCATGAAACAACAGTACACTGAATATGAGAGGTGTATTTTCCATTGTTGCACGCTGTTCGGGTGCACGTTTGCTATGCAAATCTTGTACTACTACGTAACGCAGATGGCCAGTTTATGGTGTACGGGACAGGTTAAGGTGCACTCAAATTGGACAAAGGAATTGCGTTTTGGAATAGCCAATCGAATCACTAGAACAATGAAATAAGCAACAACTGCGTACAAATTTCAAGCTTAAACCGTCCCTCCTATTTTGCCTTGAAAGCGAAGTAAATGAACGGTAAGCGCTGAAGTCTATTTAAGCCGATTAAATAACCAGAAGAATGCCCAACCTTTCGGCTTCATCCAGCACTTTTCAGAATTGAAATCCCGTTCCTAATACGAGACGAGGAAGCTGCATTCTACAACGAGATCTATAATTGGTCATCTGCGTTACGTAGTATTTGTACGGCAAACGTGCACCTGACCTGCATGTCACAATGGAAAATACACGTCGCATCCAGCGTAATGTTAGTTGTAGTAGTACTACTATTAATAGTCATCGGTATTCGCACACAAAAACAAAACCATCACCCCCCTACCGATAGTTGTACGAGAATAACGTTAGCGATAACATTGCTCGAAATCTCTCCACAAGGCTTCAGCTTAGCCTTCATTTACTTCGATTTCCAACTGAATTGAAGGCAAGAAGGAGGGACGGATTACGGAGCACTGTTTAAGCTTAACTGTTAGTCTAATCATTGCAAATTTTTTAACCCGTAACCCTGTTACCCCGACACACCGACACCACCCTGTCCCTATCTCAAATGACCACAATTAAGCCTATTCCCATGTAAGTTGAATCGCCAGTGGTTAGCTATCGCTAAACACAGTCAATCAACTTAACCCTTACCAAGACTTCGTGATGCTTGTAGCCAATGAATGGCATTGGCTCGTGAATGCTTGTACCTACACTGTAGTTCAGAGGTGTAAACACCTAATACTGCGTAGGACGAAGTCCCGGGGGAGAGGGCCAGGCTCTACGATTTCACACGGTACACTGTAGTGCTGGCACAATTTGTTTCTGACGTTACTAGAGAGATACACATAAATATGAGCTCTGGAGTCGCGACCTTGAGGGTGTCGGAGTTTACTACGGTAATGTAGCTACTATACTCCTGCGTTCAAATGCTTTTCACAGTCAGTTAAGCAACCACGAATTATCCGCACATTTCAAAAACTTTTTTCGCTCGAGGTTTCCAGCAAATTATCTATTCTTTCCTTCAGTAAATTTTAAATATTTATTTTTATCATCCAGAAAATGAATTATACTACGTAGTATATATAAATGTTGATCAGAATATTGATTTAGGGTTCGTCTGGTAATGCAATACAGTGATGCTCCCTTTTTTGCACGCGTCCAAAAGAGATAAACTCCATGAAATGATGCAAATCAAAAGAGTAAAATTTGAGAGGTCTAGGATTTCAAATTCAAAATTGGTGCCGAACAGCCGCGATGCCATCGGGTGGAAAGAGACTAACCTTGCAACAAAAAGATACATTGCGTATCTTCTACACTAGCCAGCCTCCAGGGTCGGTGACATACCCCCAATTAGCTGTATGGGCAAGCAAGCAATTCGGATGTTTGATGCATGTAAGCACTGTTGGTCGCATTGTAAAGGACCAACGAGAGGCGACGACTTGCAATATCGTCAATAAAGCCAAGCATCGCCGATCCAACTTAAGACCACCAAAATTCCCCGAGCTCGATGGTCAATTGGCCGCGTGGGTGGAAGCAGCTAACACGAACAACGTATGCATCACCGGACCACTACTCAAGCAAAAGGCCCTTCGACTCGCTGTTGCTCTTGGCATAACTCAGTTTCGCGCATCCCAAGGATGACTGTTTAAATTTCAGCGGCGTAACAACCTGTGGGTACATCGGCTCCACGGTGAGAGCGCGTCAATCGATCCCTTAGTCACCAATGCCGGTCGCAAAAACCTGCTGCTGGAAGCCCAGTTCTACGACGCACGTGATGTGTACAATATGGACGAGACGGGCATCATCTACAAGGCCCAGCCGAAGACATCAATGTCAAGCAAGCCACTATTCGGTCTCAAGAAAGACAAGAGCAGAATCTCTGTTGCCCTCACTGCGAATGCCGATGGGTCCCACAAGTTGCCGCCATTCTTCATTGGAAAGGCTGAGAAGCCCCGATGCTTTGGCAGCCTATCTGCACAAGAGCTGCGTTTCTACTACCGCAGCAACCGCAAGTCTTGGATGACGATTGCTCTCTTCTCGGAATGGATCATGGAGCTGAACGAAGAAATGAAGAGAAGAAATCGAACAATTCTGCTACTCCTAGACAATGCCTCCTCACACCAAGTGGTTCGGGCCGATGTCGGCAATGTTCGCGTTCTCATGCTTCCACCCAACACCACCTCGGTGCTCCAGCCTATGGACGCTGGAATCATATCAACCTTCAAAATGTACTACAAGAAACGTCAACTGGACCATGCAATTCAAATCGTTGACACCATTACCGGCGGTGGGGTTGTGACGGACAAACAGCGCAAGAACCCGTATGCATGTGACGTGCTTCAAGCAATGCGGTGGGCTTCGGAGGCGTGGGATGAAGTATCGCCATCTACAATTAGAAATTGTTGGGCTCATACTGGTATCCTACCTCAAATGTCGTTGATGGCAGCACTTGAGACCCTTCGAGTGGGCTCGACCATGTGAATGGGCTTCTTGCTCTCTTAACAAGACCTTGTAAATTCAATATTTGTCAATTTCTTTGTAAATCAATACCTTTTATAATTGATGAAAATTCCGTCGAGCAAAAAAGGGAGCATCACTGTATTCAGGCCCAAAACGCAATTTTGGGGCCGAATTCAACAAATCTGATCAAAATTGCATGTCTTGCTGGAATAGGTTTAACCCAAATCCAATAATTCCACGTGGGATTTACTCGTTGAAGAGGTCCAAAACGCCATATTACAAAATGGACCTTTTACCTCCATTTTGAAAATGGCATTTTGGGTTAATCCCATTTTCCGAGAAAATGGAATAATATTTTTGATATGTTACCAGACGAACCCTTATACAAGTTGCAAAACCCGGGTTCCACCGCACTACTACTGTACGTACTACAGTACTACTCCGTAGTACGTAGTATTAATAGTAGTACCGTATAATTATGGACCAGAGTCGTAGTACTGTACTGTACATGTGTCTCGAATGGATATGTTTTACTTCAAAGTAATATACTCGTAATTTGGTCAATGAGAGTCACGAAAGAAATATAGTCAGCCAATCAAAGCAAATCCAGGTGTTTCATCGAAATACATTAATGTAATTGGTGGAAACCTACCAATCAATGTCTGTATATACACACTGCATCCATTTACTACGTAGTATACTACCTCTGTCCGATTATGAATGCACGTTTTTGAAAATCGAATTTCCGAGAAAGAATGCACATTTTTGTATTCAGATAATTACACCTTATTCGTACGATAACTCTACAATACCTAAAGCCGCGACGAGATTATCGTCAGCGTCCGTATCATCGACAATGTTTAGCGCCACTATCTGAGGTCAGAATGCACTCATTTCCATGCTCTGTAGGATTTCAAGGGACAGCTATATATGCATGTGAGCAGAATGGTTATCTTGCCGGCTTTGATGCACCGCAACAGCAGGTGTTGAACCATGCTGTTGCACTCACTGTCTGTGAGGTTCTTCTTCTTCTGCCCCTTGAGCATATTTCAGAATGATTGGACTAGACAAAGTGAGCAGGGTTTGAATTCCAAAGCCCGCCAAGAGCTAATATGGCCGGATATAGCCGGATACGATGGTTATTATCCGTCATTATCCGGATATTCGGGGGTGGTAGGCTTGCAATTTAGAAATGTAAGCATTATTATACAGTAACTTTGTATATTTTGGTTTTCTTTGAATTTCGTGTCTGGTTTCTAGGTAATACAGCTGACAATATCTAATTCGGATAGCCCACGCATTCCTCATTCCCGAAGTGTACTTTCTTTCCCCATACCATAACGACTCGGACAAATATTTGCTGGAAATGTGCTTCGGACACGCACTTAACCGAATTTATGCATTAAATGCGAATAGTTGTACCACAGGCCTTGTCCGGGTAGCGGCACGGCCTGCGGCCTACCTGCCGCTTTTCCCGACAAGAGGAATCGATTGGACATTCGGTGAAGTGCACGATTGGGGCTCACTCCTCGCCAAGGCACCGCCTGCACAAAATTATACACACGACCTCCGCTACGCTGCGGTGG